AGAGTTTTCAGATGAAACAATCTAGAAACCAATTTTTCTATTTTTTCCCAGTAAGCATTTTGGGTTTATGTATGTCTGTTTCCATTCCATTTGAGATGGATCAAATGACTAATGGTTTTTCTCAGAAGAATTATGCTACACCAATTAGGAATTGTTCAGAGAAATTCTTTTAAATTAATTGCTATAAAACATTTTGGGAAGAAATCCTTTGGGGATTAGATAACATAACACTTTTAACAGTTTTATCATTACACTAAAAAGTGTTAGCTCTTTCATTTTGATTGTCATTTCAAACAAATGAGAAAAAATGAATAATGTAAAGATTTATAAACGGTTTCTTATAAGGGCTGTTGAGATTTTATTTAAACTTTTTTTTTGGTAAAGATTTTTTTTTTTAATTGGCAAGTCTGATATACAGAGAGGAGGAGATACAGAGAGGAAGATCATTCATCCACTGATTCACTCCCCAAGCCACCACAACAGCCGGAGCTGAGCTGATCTGAAGCCAGAAAAGAGGAGCTTCTTCTGGGTCTCTTGCACATGTGCAGGGTCCCTAGGGCTTTGTGTCGTCCTTGACTGCTTTCCCAGGCCACAAGCAGGGAGCTGGATGGGAAGTGAAGCTTCCGGGATTAGAACCAGTGTCCATATGGGATCCCAGCACGTGCAAGGAGAGGACTTCAGCATCTAGGCTACCGCACCAGGCCTTATTTATACTTCTAACAGCAAAAGGATTTGTTTGATTCTCCCAAGATCTCCCTTTACTCCATAATGAGACCACGCAAACCCAAAGTGTTCCCAGGTTTACTCTCTTAGAGAAATTTCTTTTCTGTGTTTTCCTGATAAAAGATGCATAGCAGGTAAAAGTGCTGAGATTTATGCAGCTGAGAATTCCCATAGACGTCTGTCATTCTTGAGTATGTTTCTGAGGTTCTAGAATAATTTCCTTTCTGAGTTTTGAAAACAAATCTTTGTCTCTGGACTTTTAGTTTGACTACCAAGAGGTCCTATGCCTCAAAGTTCCTTATTAATTGAGCATCATTCCCTCTCCGTCCTGGGCAATGTGTCCAGTGCTCCTTTGCCTCAGTTTTCCAACACCGTAAGAATGTGCCCAAGAAGGATCTTTGTTTTTTATATTCAACACATAGTAAATATTTTCAGCTTGAAAATTCATATCCTTCCATTAGAAGAAATGATCTTGAATTACTTTTTAAATCATCTTCAGTTTTCTCTGAATTCTCTGAAACTGCTATTGACTAATAATTATACTGCCACAGTTGGACCTTGCATTTCCAAACCCTCCACCCCCCACCCTTTTTTTTTTTTTTGCTTACTTTCCTTTTTTCGTTTGTTTTACATTCAGAGAAGTTTTCTTAAATTTGCCTTTGCATCCTTCTATTTTCTTTTGCTTCTTTACATTTTTGCTTCCTGGGTTTTGCAGAGAGTTTGTGGAATGGACGTATGACACAAACATGAAGAAATTATAGAAAGGCTTATGGTATAAGAACAGTTTAAGTCAACTCTCCAGCCTGAGATGCAACAATAATACAAAATTGCTGAGAACAAATCTTGTTAGTGGCACAGAATTCAGGAATAAAAATGGGGGCTTTGATACTCCCTGACGCTGCAAAATAAGCACGTGGCCATTTTTATTTAGTCATTTTTGTAGTTGTAATTTCCCATATCTCTAAGCCTCAAAAAACCAATTGTTTATCCGAATCATTTCAAAAGCCCTCTCCAATCAATCCATCCCCTTTCATCAATAATATTTAAGTATTGTATTTGGAAAAAGCAAAACAAAGCAAAAACCCTTATATTCATTTCTTTTTACACCCCACAGGCAGTCTCTCAGTGGAGCTCTTTTTCTGCCTTTCTAAAATGCAAACTCAAATAAACAGATACTAGTCCTCTTTCTTCCAGATCAGAGGATGAGTCTGTGTGGATTGTAAAGCATAAGTCCTTCCAGCAGACACCCTTTTTTCTGCAACTTACTTGTCGTGGCTGCTTTTCACAACTGAAGTAGCATACATGCCTCTGCTCTCCATGTCCTTGATTTGGCAATCAACAACAACCCTGGCCTGACTGTTGGTGTGCTAAACCATCTTTGCATTAACCTACCAGTAAACACTGGACAAGGGACATTTACAACACCGCTGCACACACCACAGCTCAGGCCTGTTTTGTTGTCAGAATGTCATTTCTTGACCCAGGAGAAAAACACAGAAAAACACGGGCAGTTTGGGGGGAAGATAGAGAAATTATTATTATTATTTTATGATTCAGTTCTATAGGCCCTGGGATTTCCCTTAACCCCCTCCCCAAAACCCCTCTTCTCCATTGAATTTCCCTATATTATTTCTATAGTATAGTTCTTTATAAACAGTCATATTTCTATCACTGCGCGCATGGACAATGGCAGAGAGTCCAGCATCCTATTGTCAAGATATAGTTAACAGTTTCATTGGGAGTCTATCTTATTTCTGCACCTTTTGGGATTCCCATAACTCTTATATTTGGCCTTTTAATAGTGTCTTTAAATTCTAGAATACGTGTTTTTCTTGTTTTGTTTTGTTTTGTTGTTGTTTTTTTAGCTTGACCCAGCTTTGCTTCCAGCTTTTTGTTTGTTTCCCGCTGATGACAGGAAATATCTTCTAATTTTGAGATTCTTTCTTCTGCCTCCTTCATTTTAAATTGGAGGCTTTCCACTGTACTTTTAATTTGCTCTACTGTATTCTTTGCTCTACTGATATATCAGCTTTCATTTGATTCATTTCTAGTGTGACATGTTCCTTGAATTCTTTTAGTGACTGCTTTACGTGCTTCTCATTGTTGATCAGAAGCTTTATAACAAGTGTTTTGAATTCTGTATCACCCATTTTCTCAATGTACTCCTCAGTTAAGTCTGATGTTGGCAAAGGCTTTTGCTCCTTTGTAGGAGAATCTTCAATAATATTCCTTGTGCTTTTGTCTCTTCTTTTGTTCTTTGGTAACTGTACTTCTGGTTATCAGATTCTTCTCTTTGGGGCAGGTTTCTAAGCTATGTCACCCATAGATCTACAGTTTGATTTTACTTATTGCAGTTGGTACACAATTCTTTGCTTGCAATCAATGGTGCCACTCCCTCCAGAGAGTTGCAGGTCTGGGTTCTTATGTTAGATTTCCACCATGGTCTCCGTAGCCCCAGCTCCTGGCTCACCACTCTCCGCCTCCTGTGATTCTTGCTGAGGCCGCAGTGTTGTCTGTAGAACCCTTCTTCCACTTTCTGTTAAAGCAGGTTCCAGGATTAGGGAGACACCAGGTTCCTATATAGCTAGGTTGCTGGTGGTGCTCATCATGCCAGAACCTGTTGGCTATTAGGTTTGAGGGCCACACAGACCTATTTTGACCCATATGATGCCATAGTTGGTATTATTTTCTTTGTGGGACCAGTGCAATGCACTGAGCTCAATGAGTTCACTCCCAGCTTAGTGCATGCATAGCTCACTGTTGTCCCTGGAGTCTAAATGCCTTTTCCACACTGTACAAAATGGCACCCGATGGTGCCACTACTAGAGTTCTTGATCTGCTGGCCGTCAGGTCTGAGGGTTACCCGGACCTACCTTGGGTGGAACCTGTAGGATGCCATGTTGTTATGGTTCACTGAGCCAGAAATGTGTTCACTACCAGCTCAGTGCATGCACAGTCCTGTCCCATAGCCTTTGCCTCCCTATACAAAATGATACCCAATTCGGCTCTATGGGGTGTGAGTTCCCAATCAGTGCTCCTTCCCACCTTGTTACTGGTGGAGTTCTGGCTGCTGATGCAGTTCAGAACACTGCTCATTGAACGCCACTGGGGTGTCACTACAACACTATACCATTGTGTCCGCTGCTTTCCTGTAACTGTCAGTCTCCAAGTGCCCCTCTACTATCATTCTGTTCTCTCCTATTTCCTGGAATATGCCCTCTCTGCTTCACACTGGCTAATGTTTCTCTCTGTTTAAACATGTCCTTACCCTGTTACACCATCTTGATTTTTCTCTCTGGAGGATTCTTTGACTCTAATGCCTCCAGTCTCTTGCTTTGGATTGGCTAGTATCTCCAGAGAACCATGTTTCAACCTCCAGTTTTTCTGCTCATAATTAGCTTTATACCCAACTGCCTGCCTGCTATATGCTGGTCACCCCTTCAGCTGCAATGTGCATCCCTAGTGCAAGTGCATTTGTGAGCTCCCACAGAGAGGAAGCTCTGGGTATCTGCTGTGATTGGGACACGCAGCCACCTGCTGTAGGAGGGGACTCTGTACTTCTGTGTCTATACAGCTTTTAGCCCAGTCTTCTGACTTCAACTCCCAACTGTCCCCCTCCCTCCCCTTCCAGAAGCACTCAGCATCTTATATAGTCTAAGCTTTGCTGGTGATCTCTGATACCAAACCAGATGTTTCTAGGCTTCCCCCGAAAAAACATATTTTTGTTCTTTCTCGTCTTCTAAATCCATTTTCAGTTGCTCATTTTGCTTTCTTCTCCAAATTTTATTGTTGCTATTATTTTGTTTTCTTTATTCATGTGGATTTATGCTTTCTTTAATTCTTTTAGTAGTATTTAGTGGTGTTTTCAGGAGAGCAGAGGCAAACATGATTGTTTCTATGCTCTATTCAACTAGATTTTTGTATAAACCTTAGGAAGCTACAGCAAAGTAAAATGCACTATATTCATTTGTAGAAACACAGGACAGATACCAAAATGTGTGGGGATGAAGAGAAGTACCAGATCTGGGGGCAGAGGCTCTGTTCCAGCGACACTGACAAATAAATTCTAATCCAGTAGATGATGATGTCAAACCCCACCTCCTACCCCTACCCTGAATCTACAGCATAAGTCCCTACCCACAACTGCTCACCTCTTGCTAATCCCAATCTCATAGCTTCCCTTAGTGGGGGAGCATCCTATGTTTCTAAGCCTTCATTTCCGTGTCCTTAGCCTTGGAGATGAAGGAATCTGTTTCCATATGCAAAAAAAATCTCAGTTAAGAAACATGGCTTATCTTTATTTCTTAGTTCTTTTCAAATTTGGCCTTGCTTATTATACATGGGGCTCTGTACACATTGAATGTTGCAGATTGTGAAAGATACCCTTGAAGAGTGAAAAAGTCCCAATTGCTTTTCTTTAATTCCCACACAGCGATTGTACCCAGTTCGCATAGAGAAGTCTTGGATGATGGCTGAACAGCTGCTTGACCTCCAATTTTCACTCACTGTGGCCCTAGTTTCTTTCATTTTCAATATGGGCATCTAAAACTGAATTACTGTTGGAGGTCATTAGAAATTAGCTTAGATCCCATGAACAACAATGTCTGTAAAGCCGGAACATCGACATTGCTCTTTAAAGAAGAAACCTCCACAGTACTCCTGCAATGGGTGCATCATCTATGCAGGAAATTCTTGAGTCAGGTCAACTGATGGGGGCTCCTGTTGTCACCAGCTTGTAGTAGGCTCCTTTCTGAGCCATCAGTTCTTCATGTGTCCCCTTTTCAATCACAACCCCTTGTGACATGACGGCAATGATGTCTGAGTTTTGGATGGTGGACAAACGATGGGCAATGACAATGCAAGTCCGACCCTCTCTAGCTTTGTCCAGGGCAACCTGCACAGTCTGGAAAGACAAGATGGAAAGTTGGTGCAAAGATGCCTGATTGCCCCCTAACCCACCATTGCAAGAGCTCATACCACAGAACACTTAGGTCAAATGACAAAACTATGCAAGTAGTCACAGGATGTGATGCATCAATTATTTAAATCACACTGCACTTGCTGAGAAATCTCCCTGAAGCCAGAATGAATCAACTATGAAGTCACCACACACTCTTACAATATTGATGGTCTAGTTTACTAAAATTAAACCAAGAATGTAGTGTGTCTTAAGTAGTCACTCACGCCCTATACTGTTTCACATTGAAGGCATTTTAGTGCTCTCTGAAATGAAATCTTGATTTTTAAAGACTTAAAAACAAATTTTGAATCTCATAACTGTGTTCTTCTCAGCTGTATCTCCTTTTAAGCAAATATCACATCAGACATCACCTCCTTATTTCTGCTGTATATGGCCCACCTACTCTGTCATGTAACTTTAGGACTATGACATTCATAATCATTACCTAATGGATAGTCAAAGATATTTTACTTTTATAAAGCTAATTGTTTGACCACAAAAGGACACTTGCACTAAAGAATTTTTTACATAATTTTGATTTTAAAGTTAAGAAAATTTATTTTATTTGAAGCAATCTTGTGTTAAACTGTTTCTGTAAATTACTGTCCTTTGGTTCTCCAAAATATTGCCAAATTACACTGTTAGGGGACTAGAAAGCTTTCATCATTTATAAGGACATATCTTAGAAGAAAACACTCATTTGCAGAGATAAGACTTCAAAAAAAATTGGTACATACCTTTTCACTTTCTGTGTCTAAGGCAGAAGTGGCTTCATCTAGAAGCAAAATTTTAGGGTCGCGTACGATGGCCCGGGCAATGGCAATGCGTTGTTTCTCCCCTCGAGAGAGCTGAGAGCCTTGAGACCCAACGTTAGTCTCATATTTCTGGAAAAATTATGGTAAGTTTAAAAAGTAGAAATAGTTCCTGTGCTACATAGAATGCACATCAGAAGTGCCTCTGTGGATCTGAATGATTTGTTTTGTCTTGAACTTCAGGATAGTGAATGAGTCATATAAAAATTGTCCATTTCACTTAGGAGTACATAAAATATGGCATTTTTTGCTTTTGTGCTGGGAAATAAAGGTACTTTGAACCTGTATCTTTATCTATCTATGCATGCACACACACACACATACATATGCACACAGACGTATATGCATGCACACACACACACACTATTTTCCATAATACAGTTTTGTAGGTATAGGGCTCCCTCTCCTTCACCTTCTTTTGTCTTCATTTTCCCTTCCTGCCATTCTTCCCTTGGTTATCATACTAGTATAGCTCTTTGGTAAAGGTTACAAATATAACCTCCTGTTATTTAAATGTATCATGGCTGGGTAGATATAGACAAAAGTAGAGAAACTACTATCATATTGTAAAGGTTTCCCTCTCTCTATATATATGTAGATATGTATGCACACATATATTTTTATACACATATATTTTTTTTACATTTATCTAATTTCATTTTATTTGGCAGGGAGAGAGAGAGATCTCATACCCTCAGGTTCAATTTAAATATTTACAAGAATCGACACCGGTCAGGCTGAAGCCAGGATCGTGAAGCTCCATTTGGGTCTCCAACATGGGTGGCAGGGATCCAAATACTTGGGCCACCATTCACTGTCTTTCCAGGAGCATTATCAGGAAGCTGAGTAAGCAGTGGAAAACCTAGTATTTGAACCAGCATTCCAATAATGACTTTTGGCATATCAAGAAGCAACTTAACCCACAATGCTATAATATGTGCCCAGATAAGATCCCATTATTGAGATCCTTCTTAGGGGCTGGTGCTGTGGTACAGTACAGTGCACTGGTACTCCATATGGGTGCTGGTGCATGTTCTGGCTGCTCCAGTTTTGATCCAGTTGCCTGGTTATAGCCTGAGAAAGCACTGAATAATACCTCAAGTCCTTGGGCGCTTGTATCCACATAGAAGACCCGGAAGAAGCTCCTGATCCCTAGCTTTGAATTGGCTCAGCTGTGACTATTATGGCCATTTGAGAGTAAACTAGTGGATGGAAGATCTTTCTCCTTAACTCTCTCTCACCCTTTTTCTCCTTCTCTCTGTAATTCTGCCTTTCAAATAAAAATTAAAACTAAATAAAACCAGATATCCTCCTTGATTTAAGACTCCCTAATATCTCAACTCTTACCTGCAAGACCATTCAAAAATGAAATAATGCCAGAAGCAGAAATGTCCTTTATGACATCTTCTGGTCTTTACTGGGCGACTTCATTCTGGAACACAGGCCTTGTGTTGAAATTACACTCTGCTGCTTACTAGTTGTGTGATCATAAACAACTCATTTACATTTCTTTGAGCTCCAAACTCAGGTGAAAAAAAATGAAGGATTAGTATCTAGTTTACAAGTTTGTGATGAGCTTTAGATGAAATTAGGAAGCAAAATGTCTAGCCAAATGTCTGAGCTCATTGCCTAAAAACAGGCAATGTGCATAGACTATTTATTATTTATATGGTATTGTGCTAACTACTCTGGCTGTGTTTTAATTTAATATTTACAGCAACCATAGTCTCTGTTTTTCCAATGATAATGTAGAGGCATCAAGTAGCATGAAAAATGCACAAAGCCACACAATAAACAGTGAAGGTTCTATCTAAATCCAGGTGTGTCTGGCTTCTGAGCCCTTGTCTTGCTCCATTTCTCTCTCTCATATTCCACAACAAGATAGTTTCCATTCTCAGCCTCCCTTGTCTCCCGACAAATGTCCAAAGCCAGGTGAGGATGATGGCACCTCTTTTTCCCTGTAGAAACATAGTGCTCAGTGAAGAGTATCGTGTGCAAATTTGCTTGAGAAAGAGGGGATGTCAATTCAAGCTAGAGTCTTGCACAAAGTGAGCAGGTACTCAAGGATTTTTGGAATAAAATAACCTTCTAGGGGACACACAAGACTTGCTTTACAATTCAAGGCTGAAGTAAATAGTAATTTCTATGTGCTTGCTGGTTAGGCCACCCAAGTTAGACCCAGGACAAGAGCCAAACACTTACAGAGGTTTTGTGTGGAAAAAAAAAAAAGCAAACAAAAAAGTTATCCAAAATCAGTTATAAAAGTAATTTCTGAGGGTTATTTCCCAAAGAATGTGAGGAAAATTGAAAGTAATTTTTGGCTTCTACAATTTGAATTTTTCGTATTGTATTTTTCCAGTGATTGACCACCAAGGGAAACTCTTTGTACATAGAAAAAGGCAGAGTTAATATGTACTACATTTGAACTTGGCTCTGGAAAACTAAGAAACACGCAGGTAGTTACAATTTACTCCACCATATACAGTCTCTGGTGTCAAATAATGATGCAGTCAGTGGAATCAGTAGCAGCTTTCCTGGGGTGATCATTAAGTGCATTTTTTCATTTTAAGGCTCTTCAAAAACTGTTTTGCATTTTGCAGATGGAACAATCTTTGCAACGATCAGTCACTGTCTTTGCATTGGTTGGTAGTAAGTAGCAGAGCTTAGATTCAAACCTGTATTTTACATCTCAGAGCTTTCCCAATGTACTAAGCTAATGCTTGATTAGTAGTGCTTTATAAACAACCAATTCCATACCATCCCTTGGGCCAGATAATATACTACTTTCTGAAACTAAAAAGTATGTTGATGAGGCACATGTATTTTGTTTAAAGATTAAGAGAATCCCAGTTAGTATTGGGGAATAAATTGTGTTGCCTTCAAACTTGGCCCTGAGTCAAAAGCATCTTACATTTTGTTCATTCTACCTGCTCTTATCCCTGACTGCCATGGAGAATGAGGAACTTGGTACTCACCTCTGGCAGTGACATGACAAAGTCATGCAGCTGAGCCTGCTTTGCCGCTGTGATGATTCTTTCCATGGGAATGTCTTGGGTGTTGTCCCCATATTTGATGTTGTCCTTTATGCTACAGGCAAACAACACTGGCTCCTGGGAGACTATTCCGATATTCGAGCGGAGGAACTGAATGTTGACTTTTCTGCTATCATGTCCATCTATCATCTGCCAGTATAAGTAAGAACAAAGGATATGTTTAAACAGATGGAGAAACATTTAATCAGGATGAAGAGAGAGGACACATCCCAGGAAATAGCAGAGGACGGAACAACAGCAGACGGGTACCTGGAGACTGACAGACACAGAAAAGCAGCAGACACAATGGTGTGGTGTTACAGTGACTGATACTCCACACAGACCTATTTTGACCCATACGATGCCATAGTCAGTATTATTTTCCTGTGAGACCAGTGTAATACACTGAACTCAGTGAGTTCTCACAAGCTCAGCACATGCGCAGTTCACTGTTGTCCCTGCAGTCCTAAAGCTTTTGCCACAGTGTACAAAATGGCACCTGACGTACCACTACTAGAGTTCTTGATCTGCTGGCTGTCAGGTCTGAGGGCTACCCTATTCCACCATCTTGATTCTCCCATCAAATAAAATTCTAATAAAGGCAGTGTGAGGCCTTAAGAGGTAAGAAAGAAGGAGTAAGAGGTGAAAATGAAGAAATGATTGCTAATAGTCTCATGTTGAAATATGGAAATTCTATGGGTAGTGAAAAGCTACATAAGATACTAAATTTATAGGTAGACAAAATCCTGGAACTATATTTGTAGGAAGTGAGTAAAAGAAGGGGGTGGTGAGGGTTAGAATAAGTCAACAGAATTTAAATTTGTTAAATTGTGAAACAGTGCCATATCACTTTGAAACATAGGAATAATCACCTAGAGATCTAAAAGCACCAGGTGATTAAAAATAATTGCCTTGAACTACAGAAATGTGAGGCATGGTATAGAAAGAATACGTTTTTTTTTTTTATTAACAAACCTTTATTTGAACTTGTAATGTTCTGCACATATGACTTCAAAAGAAAAAAAAAAATGAGAGAAAGGTGGATGAAAATGCCGTGAAAAGTAAGCAATTCATTCACTTTTCAAGCATCCTTGCCAAAGGCGATCAAATTAGAATCCCTTTTTTACTTAGACTTAAGCTTCTTGAGCCAGAGTTGCCTCAAGTTTTTTTTATGCTCAGTCCCCTTTATTGCTCATTTACTATGTGTCCTTTATCACCCCTACTTTTTCCATTCCTGGTCATTAGGTTCTTGATTAGTCTGCACTTTCTGCTCCATTTACGGGGAAGTGAATGCTTCTGTTAAATACACTCATTTCCAGCTTTGCAGCATGCCTGGTTTTCTTTGCATAACTGGTCAGCAGGCCATCTGGAACTGGGAAGAAAGTATTAGAAATTGTGAGGTGGAATCAGGTCAACCAGCCAATGATTGAAACTGGAAAATATTCAAAGAGATAAGTGCCCAGGATGAGCACTTTTCTGGGGTCTGGCCAGCCACAATTCTGAAGACCACTTTTGCAGGGGTTAGGACTATTCTGCAAAAAAAAACAGCATTCTTAAAAGCATTTGCATCACTCACCACTTTGCCTTGGTCAGGGTCATAGAAACGTTCCAATAGCTGAATGCTGGTGCTTTTGCCACATCCACTGCTTCCAACAAATGCCAGTGTCTGCCCTGGACTAACGGACACCGAGAGGCCTCTGAGGACTTGTACATCAGGTCGAGAAGGATATGTGAATTTGCAGTCAACAAAGTCAATCTTACCCTCGAAGTTGTCCTGTGGGTGGAAGGATTGGAATGAAATACTTACTTATTCCAACCGTTCCAATGTAGATAATTGGAAGTGTGCCTAAATTTGAGTTTCAGTCTCTACTTAAGAGACCTTCAACACCAAGTTGCCAAAATACAGAGATTTACAATTTAACAAAATAATATTTTGCTCCCTGGTCTAACAGGTGTAGAATGAAGGGAGCCTTTAGCAGTGAAACTGAAGACATTTGACCCCTCATTCTCCTTTAATCCAGAGGAATTTTCTTGGCATTCATTTCTTGACATTCTGAATGGATAAGAATAGCTAGATGACATTATTACATTACAGAAGCCACTAACTGCCAAATCCCTGTAGCTCTGTTCCCCCAAAAGACTTAACATAACAGTATGTTTGAAATGTCTTAGAAAGAAAGCTACTTCAGATCTGTCCCACAACAGCGAACAATTCAATTTTATGTTAGGGTGCTGAAAGCTATCTGAATTATGAACTGTAGGAGTGGATAGACATTTAATAGACCACCAACAGACTTATGAAGCTGAAGTAGAAGCACAGAGTTTGATTAATTCAAAGATTTCATATTTTAGCAATCTGTTTTGCCCTCTCTCGAATATACTGAGTTTTTCAAAATTAGGCAGGGAAGATTAAAAACACTCCTGGGGAACAACCAATTAGAAGAAAAGATATTTTGTAGAGAAGTAATTAATTTTCCAGGAAACCACATGAGCTAAAACTTGAACCCAGATGAACATAAATCAAATCAACTTTACTGAACACGAAAAACTGGTTTTTCTACATAGCACACCAGAAAATCATTTTAAAATATGGTAGCTGAATAGCTCTCTGAAGATATCCAATTTCATTCATGTTGGAACTGTGCACTCAGAATTGGACACTCCTTATATAGTGTTCTCATATTCAAATATTATTTTTATGAATGATTTTAATGCCAATCAATCCCTTTGCATTTATGAATCTGCTGATTATCTATTCTGCATGCATGTCAATGAATCTATGATCTCTTTATTGCATGGCATGAAACTATAAATTATGATCTATGAGTGTATGAGCTAAGGGTATTGTATCAGCATCCCCAATGGCTATTCTGTATGGACACAAACAGAAGCACAAGCCTCCTCCCTCTCAATACTCACCCATTTTTCACCTGCACTACTGTACACATTGATTGGAGGTTGTCGGTCCAGCAGTTGAAAAAGGCGTGCAGCTGATATTTTAGCTTTGGCATAACTTGGGGTATAGGAAGAGGTTCTCCCAAGAGCTGTTGCACTCAGGACAACTGCAGAGATGACCCTGTAATCAGACAGACCAGTGGGAAGAGAAGAATGATGCGTGATCAGAGTGATTACCTAAGAGGTAGGAGCTTAGGAAGTTAGCCCTGGTTGGGCTGGGGAAGAAACCCAAGTATCCTTGATCAAGTCACTTCAGTCTTGAGTGAAGATGTGGGAGAGTTTTCAAGTAGTGTTCTATGAAAAAGAGGTGAGGAATGGAATGCTGAAAAGGGAGAGGCTCAGACTTCTACACCCAGATTCAATCACCGCAGCTTCCTTTTAAAAGAAATTTAAATCACCATATTGGATTGATTTTCTTGCAGTTCTAGCATTCCTTGAATCTACAATAGAGGTTACAATATAGTGACTGGTGTTCAGTCTAAGCATAAATTCTGTGCTGAGCATACATACAACCCATACTTCAGACATCACAAGGAATATGTACTTGCCAGTTTCCTCGTTTCTCAGCACTTATCTATATTTAGTATGTGCTTACTTAGTACACAAATGGGTACATAATACATATGGCAACTATGATGTGAGTGGCAGCCCTTAAGATTATTTATCAGTATCACCAGGCCCTTGGGGTCTGTGTGGGGTGAGGATAGGAGGCAGAAAGTGTGTGTTACTGCACAGTTTATAAGCGAGAATTATTTTAGGCTTGAGGTGAAAATTCAGACACCCCCTAGGAACTCAGTCCAAAGCTTAACAAAGTAAAAAACCCTTGTAATAAAATGGGAAGTGGTGGAAGGTGACCTTCATTTCTTAAGCAAAGTCAGAAGCCAGATATTTCCTGCAGTTTGTAAATTTTTACATGTTTTAAATAATTTTTAAGATCCTTATTTAGGATTGAGCCTGGAAGTTAAGATGCCCATCTCCCCTGTTGAATTACCTGGGTTCAATCCCTGGTCCCAGCACCTGACTCCATCTTTCTGCTATTGCTGACCTTGGGAAGCTACAGGGATGGTTCCAGTGACTGGTTCTCTACCACTCATGCAAGAGACCTGGGTGGAGTTCTGGGCTCCCAACTTTTGCCTCAGCTCAGTCAAACTAGAACAGGCATTTGAGGGAGAGAACCGCTGGGTGGGAACTCCCACTGAACCTGTCTCTTCACTAAATAGTAAGTAAGATAAAGCAACCAAAGCTCTCCAAAGCCTGATGAAAACCAAACACACTTAAAAACTAGCTTAAAAACAAAATTTATATAAACTAAATAGAATGAGTTAACAGTGCTTTCTGTTTTGCTTTGGTAGCTTTAAAGATACAAAGGTTTAGGGGGGAAAAAAAAGACTCTTGTGTGTAAAAGTACTGGAGGAAGCATGCCATGTGAGAAGGTAGCATTCATGGTTAGAGATAAAACCCAAAAGAACAGATCCCTACTGGGTTTCATTTTTCCTAATGTCCTCCAAGGTTTTCAGAGACCATCCCTGCATTACTCTCCACCACACCAGTGTACACATGTACCTGGCTCCTCGGTGCCCTAATATTAGGCTATCACTTCTGCAGGTGTGAGAAACTGGACTCAAGGCCAACTTTAGGAAAGCAGTCCCTGGCTATAAGAAAGGAATCTGATGCTCCTTATGGTCTATGCAGTTCCTGCTTAGACGTTCACTGGAAACATCCCTTCTTTGCAAAGGAAGAGCACAGTGTAAACACGTTCTGTCTATGAGCCATCTTACTCAGACCTTTGGGTTTCCAGCTATCAAAGTGTGGTAGGATTATAAAAATGACCACTTGTTGGTTCATCCCGCCATGCGTTTCTTTTCAATATGGCTCTTTTTCTCCTCTCTCCAAATAGTTGCTTCCATTTCTCTATTATTTAAATCTGAGGTCAAGATGGTGGCCCAGAGTACTTGGGTTCCTGCCACCCACATGGGAGATATAGATGGATTACCTGGCAGCTGGTTCTAGCATGGTTATTGTATACATTTCGTAAATGAACCAGAAGATGGAAGATCTTTCTGCCTCTCCTTCTCTTTCTCACTGTCACTTTGCCTTTGAAAGAAATAGTTTTTGTTTTATTTTGTTTTCCCAATCTGTGATTGGCTACATGACTTTCTTTGGTCAAATAGACATTAGAATATGTGACACACTGAGAGACTGAAAGGAACTTACATACTGGGGCTTGCCCTCTTATTGCCTTTGCAGCTCTCCATAAAGCTTGCCTGCCACCAGAGAGGTCACATAGAGACCGAAGGACGATCAGAAGCCCACTGAGTCAGCTCAGGACAGAAGAGCCACTCTGACAACCCACAGAATCTTCAGAAATGAAAAATCCCAGCTGTCTTAAGGCAGCAAGTTCGGGGTGCTTTGAAGAACAGCAAAAAGCTAAGTGATATTCCTCCCTTCAGCACGCATCTTTCGAGGCCATGGCTGGATATATTCCTCACCTGAACACATAGCTGAAGTGCAGCCCCTCATAGGCGATTAAGTAACCTCCATATCTGTAGGAAGCAGAATTTGCGATGAACGTTATGCATTGGGAAAAGCCAAAGCACAACCCGTAAACATTTGCTTTTTTGATGGCCGTCTTGTATGGCTTCTCCAGCTCAGTCTCAAAGGCTTCAACAAACTGCCTTTCCTTCCCAATTCCAGCAACAGTGCGGATATTACTGAGGGCTTCATTGGTAATCTGAAGAATGAAAGAGAGTCTTAGGAACAGAGGGTGGAAATAACTCCATTCACAGCATCTCAGCTACTACACGGATTACATCTGGTACAAATGGCAGAATGTGGTAGCACTCAGAGACGCAGGTGTACTCCAGGAGACTCTGCTGGGGCTCACCCCACCTGAATCACGAGACAACTGGCAGATAAATTTTAGCTCTGCTCAATTCCAGCATGGCCTTTGTTGCCTACACTTGTGGTAGAGAGAAAAAGGGAAAAAGAGGCACACCTAATTATCCTTAGAAGCATGTTAGCTTCTTTGAGAACTCATTTGACATGTCCAAAATGGCATCTTTGAATGTCTTCTGAGATCAAAGATCATTTAGTCACATACATTTAAAACATTATTCTGTTTTCCTGGAAATAATCTATCTAAATATTATCTAACCTAAAATTAAGTATAATGTTTATCTTTGTACTATGTCTTTGTGTCAATCCACATTCTAGGGTAAATCCATTTTGTTTCTGAATTGGAGTCAGACACAAAGATGTCCTGTCTCTACCATTGGCAGAAGTTGTTTTTCTGGCTTCTGCCTACTGGAAAGTTTTCATATTTTCATATTTTTTGCCTTATAAGAGATGAAAAAGAAAACACTAGATTATAATGAATTTATTAAAGGACAAAGTGTATATGTATGTTTACTTGATTTCTGATAGTTTCTATACTGTGATCCCTTTCTGTATCTTTCATGACCAGATATTAGTTATAACACATCTTTAAAAATACATACTTAAAACCTAAGCATATCTGAAACCTGAGCCATGGCTTGAGAAGGACATTGGCCACTAACTTAGCATATGCCGATATGTGAACATAAAAAGTGTGTGCCAATAAAAAGATGCTAACTCCTCTTCGTGTGGACAGCATCAGCCTGATAGATACTAGCCTGAAAATCCTAACAGACAGCAAACTGAGTGTTTGGACATCCCAGTGTAAATCCACTTCCTGAAATTGTGGAATAATCATTTGAGATGAGTCAAATCTGTAATTCTGCCTGTTTATCTCACAGTTTCTTTAAACCTGCTTGAGGGCACAGCTGCCAGTTTTGCTGCCATGACCTTTAGAACAAGGCACGTGATGGAAGGGCTAGGAGGAAGTTTCCAACTGTGAGTGTTTGTGTCTAGCCATTTCCTTAAGTCTTTTTGGTCCCCCTATTTCTAATCATTTGTCTGATACTCAGTCACATGCACTCTGGAAATTTGACCCATGAGATTACCTGTCCCGCCTTCTCCAGAGCCTGCTTATCTCGGGAGGCAAATCCTGTCAACATTTTGGTTTGAATTGCTCCTGATAAAGCCAAGAACGGGAAGAAGCACACTATGACTAGGGTGAGTTTCCAGCTGAACAAGAAGGCAATGATCATGGCCACCACGACATTGGTGAAGGAATTGACCATCATTCCGATCTGAGAGCCGGTAGCCTACAAAGCAAAGCAAGCAGCTCATTTCAAACAGAATCTATTTCACCAATCACTATTGTGTGAAAAGCCAATTTTAGGCCAAAAAGGTAGAATTTTAAAAATTGACAAGATAAAGTATACAGAACAATGTTTATCATTTTAGCCAATATCAGGCACAATCCAGAACTTAAAGACTTTCACATTGTCATGGAACCATCACCACATCTATACCCAAAACATTTGCAGTATTCCCAACAAAAACTACCCATTAAACAATGCTTCCCTCTCCCAGCTTCCCTCTCTAAAGTACCGAATAGTTCTTTTTATTTTATTCTTTATTCTAGAATTTCACCTATTCTAGATACCTTATGGGAACAGAAATAGATATTTTTCTGTTTCGGGTTGAATGTTTTCTCAAAATCAATGTTATCTCAAAGTCATAAGAGACAGGGAGCAACAAAGAGGGATCGTCTATCCACTGGTTCACTTCCCAAATGGTTGCAATGGCTGGGGCTAGGCCAGATCAAAGCCAGGAGCTAGGAGTGTCCTCTAGATCCATCATGGGAATGGCAGGTCCATACACTTGGCCATCTTCTGCTGCTTTCCCAGGATCTTAATGGGGAGCTGGATTGGAATTGGAGCAATCAGCATGTGAACCAGTATCCAAATGGATAATGACATTTCAGGCAATAGCTTAATCTACCATGCCATGGCACTAGCTTAAAAAAAATTTTTTTTAATAAAATAACAAAATTGTTTCTAAAGGGGAAAAGAACAAAAACAAATCTAAACAGGCAATTCTTTAAGAAATGCTAGTAAATTAAAATTATATATTATGCTATAATTAAGTTCATATTATAGATGTATTCATGGATACATGTTCATATTAGAAATTCTAGGAGGAAAAAGAAATACTGCCCAGCTGGCCTGGTGTCATATCAGGCTTATCGCCCCCTGTGGCAGCAGCATCCCATATGGACACTGGTTCAAGTCTAGAAGGATTGAAAGTGAGATCTTTACAAACTTTTTCTTGTAAGATGATTTCAGTTCATTGAAATTGCCCCCTATCATTTTCTAACTTTTGTATTGACACACACTACAGTATATACAGTACTACAACCCATTGAATCTTTTCTTTTTTTTTCCTTCTAAGAGCAACTCCTGACCACTCATTGCTCCAGGCACAAGAAGTCACCATTAATAAAGAAAACAGGGCAAGCCCTCAGCAGACACTGAAACTGCTGGTGTCTTGATCTTAAACTTTCCGACCTATAGACTGGTGAGAATTGAGTTCCTCTTATCCACCACCCAATCCAAGATGCTTGGCTTCAGCAGTTCAGTCTGACTTAGCTCTCCAGCTTACCCCTTGAACTTGGGAAGCGTCTGTAGCAAGTCTTGTTGTCAGTGCTCCAGGACTATTTCTGAGGTCATCAAACCAGCCAATATCTTGCCCTAACATTGCTCTGAAACCAAATTTGCGTAGTCTTTTTGTGAGGAGCTCCCCAGATTTGGCAAAAGTGTAACCCTAAAACATAAAGAAGGAATCTTCAGTGATTTTTTTTAAATGTGAAAAATAGGGAAAATAGCTACATCACTTGGAGAAACACAACTGCCTACCTGCAGAAATTGGGTGAGAAGGGATATGCAGCCCAATCCTACAAAAAGCAGGCACACACCATTAATCTGTGACCTCTGTTCTTCTTTATCAGGTAGTGAAAATGTCTGAAAGACAGTAAACAAGATAAAATTAGATGTGTTTAAATAAAAATTTTTTTTCAAGGTATATTTGTTTTTATTGCAAAGGCAGATTAGATTTATAGAGAGAAAGAGAGACAGAGCGAAAGATCTTCCATCTGCTGGTTCACTCCCCAAATGCTTGCATCAGCTGCAGCTGAGCTGATCCAAAGCCAGGAACCAGGAGCTTCTTCCAGATCTGCCATATGGGTGCAGGGTTCCAAGGCTTTGAGCCGTCAACTACTGCTTTTCCAGGTCATAAGCAGGAAGCTGGACAGGAAGTGAATCAGCCAGGACATGAACTGGTGCTCATATGGATCCCGGTGCTTGCAAGGTAAAGATTCAGCCACTGAGCCATCACACATGGCCTTAAATAAAATTGTTCTTTCCCTATCACATTTATTCCCTATAGCACATTTATTAAGGGTGAAATCTAGTATGAACTGTGGACATGGGGTCTTCACAATGTGTCAACATGGGTTCATTGCCTGTGATAACTATTTTCCCATGGTGGATTATGTCTATAATACGAGGAAGGCAGATGGTACCCAGGATATCTCTATGCTTTCTTTAAGTTTCTGTGAACCTGAAACTGATCTAAAAACAAGAGTTTTTTAAAAATGATTTTACTCTTAAATAGCATGCTGATTTAAACAGAACCAGTTATGAACGTTATGCTATACTTTAATCTCCTGGGAATCTGGAAGCCTGGTGAATGAAGGCTAACAGGGACAACTTGTAGAATTGTTATGCTGTTTCCCTCTCTGCTTAGTTTCAGTATTTGCATAGGCTTTTTTTTAATTAAAAAAAGATGAAGACATAATATAAATTGTTATAGTAATAAGGCAGAGAAAAAAGGAAGAAAAGAGAAAGTGGGAGAGGAGAATAGGAGAAATGAATTGAAGAACTTGAGAATCTGAGAATGTTAGCTGGGACAAAACTCAGAGTGTTAATTTAAACCATATCTTTCTCAAAAAATAGTTTTAAGAAAAATTATTTTCACACTCAAGCATATTGCCTATTGTTAGTACTATATACATACACTTATATGAACTAGTTGATGAATGTAAACCAATTGCTAAATAGGTAGCAATATCATCATTATAAAGACAACTAGCTATCAAGGGATTGATTAGAATTGAATTGGGAAAGAGAGAAATCACAGTCACCTAAGAATGAAGTTTTTGCCTTTGAATAATCAGAGCCTGACAACATTCCTGTTATGGAAGCTGTGACTTGGGGTTTTAAAGAGTAAAGCAAGCAGCAAATAGCAGTCATAAGTAAATTCTGAACTTGCAGATATTTGCTCAGGTACAGATTCAGAAACAAGATGTTGTAGTAAGAAAATGAAAGGGACAGGTTCTAATGGCATTGTCCTACAGTGAAATGGATTTTAGGAATAATAAAATCTTCTCAATACAGACTAAAGCATTGACAGCTATAGGAAAATTCCTTATTCACTATTTTGAATCAATTTGAAAAGTAGAATAAGGTCAATAAAGAATTGCTCAAAGAAAAACATTTGCTCAATAAATATTGAATGATTACTCTTCGCCAAATGAAACTCCCTGAAAACAATGTGTATCATTCCATTGACAAACCCTACTTCATAAAGTAAAAGCAGTCCCTTAAAACGATCACAAATTCCAAAGTCGAAAGAAAGGCTCAGGATTAATGAGTTCTCTACACCTAGGACAGCTTGCAGGGTCTTTCCAGTTCTTAACAGACGTGCAAATGGGTTTGGAAGATAGCACATTAATTCTTCCCAGGGAAGTGTCACTCACAAATTATGCGAATTCTTTGAAGTCCCAAACTATAATGCCATAATTTCCGTTCTTCCCCAAAGTCATCTGTTATAATCAAGGACTCCAGAACTTCAGATTGGCCATTTACTACTTTACGGAGTGAAAGCCCAAAACATCAAGCTATTTGTTTAAGTTTATTTGGCTAGTGGTTATATTGAGTTAGGACATGCCTGTTTTTCAGCTCCCAATGCTTACGCCTCAGGATCTAGATATTGTCCACTTTTTTAGTGCTAACAGAGTATTTGGCGAGTGTTAAAAGCCATATACTCTGTGATCAAGTTAGTTTCAAGGTAGGTATTTATCTATATACCAATAACCTTTTACTACAAAATTCTGCTCAATAAGTTGTATTTTATTTTTAATTATGCATGTTCATTTTCCTCAAAAAGCAGAAACATTCAGAGATCGTTAATCTGCTGGTTCTCTTCCCCAAATGCCTACAACAGTCAGGTCCGGGACAGGCTGAAATCAGGATTCCAGAGCTCAATCTGGGTCTCCTGTAAAGAAGGATGGCATGAGCCCAAATACTTGAGCCATCATTTGCTTCCTTCAAGGGTGAGCATTTTGAGCAAGTTGGATCAAAAGTGGGAGAGCAGGAACTCCATGCAGGGATTCCTGCATGGGAAGTAGGCATCCCAACTGGTGTCTGCACCACTGTACTGAATGTTGATCCTTGTATATTCTCATTGCTGAAATACAGTCCCTAAAACTGTGTAGTCTCAGACTAATCCTATTTGCAATGGTAAGTTGTGGAGGATTTTTTCTTCTTTTTTTTTTTCAGTAGAAAAATAACATAAACTCTTATTGTGCACAACTCTTACTGTGACTTACCCTACTTTGACTTAAATTAAAATTTCCTTAATTAGGATTTTTTGAATAACCAAATGAAGGTAGGTTTCTTTGCACTCCATTACAGAAGAAGAAACCAAGTTTCATGAAGAACAAGTCACTTACTTGCCTAAATGCACCCAAACAGTACGGAGACCTACTGCAAATCCAGAACAGGCAGATTCCCAAGTCTATTCTTGTTCCCAACATCCTTCATCCAAATTTCCTATTCTTTCCTAGGTCTATATCCCACGGTCTCAACATGCCAAGTGTGAATGCTGTGTACTTTACATTTATCAGAGAAAAACAGTAAATTTGAGAACACACTTCTGATCATAACGTGCAAGACAAAAGCATCCTGCATTTACTGAAAAACAGCTGATTGTTATGCTGAGACAAACATAATGACTTTCTTTATCAAGAAGGAAACCACTGATTTATTTAAAGCATCATTCTCTTAGCAAATATAGCCTTATGAGAATGTCAATGATACACTGATTTTAGATTTCACCAATTATATACTGCTGTGGTCCTGCAACTGTTAAGTGAAAAGCTTAATTGCATGGTGTAAGTCCACACTCGAATTTCTGGTTGAAACCAGAAGAATCACAGACAATATTTTCACTATTAATGACCAAGTGGTGGTCAAGGAGGGCAGGAGTTCTTAACCACGGTTTTCTTCTAGCTTAGCCATTTCGTGAACCACTAGGTATGAATGGTATCTGAAAGACACATTCATTTTCTACTTCAGAAAGCTGAGGCCCAGAAAGGTGACAGGATGTGACTCCAGAGCATACAGCAGCAGTCAGGAAGCAGCAGAGTCAGTTTCACAAAGTGACGTCTGCAGATGAGAATTCAGAGTTCTTTTTGCAGACGCTGCAAAACATGCTGAGGGTGAGTGCCTTCTCCACTCAGGTTTTATAAGACAGAAGGAGATAATTAGCAAAGAAGTTGACATCCTGGATTTCTTTGCAAAGAAGAAAAAAAAAACCTGGAACAAGCTTATTGCTTATCTTTGCCTTATTTGACTTTTGTCTTTCCTTTCTTGTTTTACCTCCATGGTTCCATTTTAGTGACGCAGTCAGGAAGAGAATTACGCATCATGCACTCACACCTGCTCTTGTAAGTTAAACATTGTTCCTCAACAGTTCAATGAGCTCAAAATTTCCCTAAAGTCCCTTTATATCTGATTTGGTTTGCAGTTGGGTAAGTTATTTTCTTCCCACATTAAATCTGCACAATAGCATTGTTTTTACAGGCATGATGACTGTGAGTTGCAGTGCAAATGACAGCATTCAACTACACCTTATTATCTTCTATGTAAAGGAAACCCCAGGAACTTGTCCTCCTTTTAGGGGTGAAAAAAAGAGAGCTGACAGACAGAGCTAAACGCATTAAAAACAAACAGCAGACCTATCAGAAATTATAATATTTACTAACATACATTTTAAAAAAAAAAGGTATGAGATAAAGCTAGTCCAGCTGTTCGCTTACCCCAAGAATCTGGCTGAACAAGAAGGCATAGAGGGGTGTGACCGCTCCGTTCACAGCAGCCCCGATAGACCCTACCAGCATGTAGGGCCATTCTGGAGCATTGAGTTTCATAATCCTTCTGACTGGAGCAGGTTCAACTTCTGCCTCAGGCAGTTCCTTGTCCTTGAGAGGAGAAAGCAGTACACTGGTCATCTACAGAACACACATTGCACTTAGTGATGATATGCAACAGACAATCTGGCATCCGTAGAATTAGGAATCACACTTGGATTAGTCACAGGTACCTTATGAATACTCTATGAGATGAAGCGGTGTGCATTTTTTTTAAGCAATGGATTTGAATTCCGTGAGCCTATGCTATGACGAGAACAAGGACAAATCTAAAGCATTACTCATCTGAATGGAAGTTCGAGGTTCTCGTTCCACAATCACCATGTATGTAAAAGTCAGCACAGAGTAATAAGTATGCTGGGTATTTGGAAAAAGGAATTCATGACAAGACTCTTATGGCTGCATTTATATCTATGAGCATTTGTAAAATTTTCAGGACATGGTTTTTAACATAGGTGTCAATGTTCTGTAACGTAGTAAGTGGCTACAACTCTGAGGCAGTCTAGGGTAAATAAAACAAGACAGAATGACTTACAGTCCTCATTAACTAGTGACAACAACGGTCATTTCAGTGTTTTTAGTATGGTCTTCCTTAATTACTGCCCAGAAGGAGGTGTTGGTTCACTGGATTTCTAAATTTCAGCCCCTAAGTAACAGACTTTTCATTTAGTGATAGAATTTTATTTTATGTAGCTGAAATAATAGAAGCAAATTAAATGATTAAGGTCATCTTGTAAATAAAGATTTTCTTCTCTGATTTTACAAAACTAGGTAGAAATAGAAGATGAACAAATTAACAGAAAATCAGTAAGAGAGGTAAAATATAAACTCTGTATGAGTTTGATTTTTGCAGTCTGCATCTCTATGCAGGGAATTTTTTTCTAATGACATATAAGAACCTGTCAGCAATTCGGTGGGAGATGCTCTTAGTTGTGTTTGCATCTGTCAAACAAAACCGAGCAGAGCACTAGGCATGTAGTCATGTTTACTGAAAAGGAAGGGAGCTGTAATGCCCATTTTGCATACCTGCAGCAAGACACTTAAAACATGAATCACTCAGCCTACTATGTGATGATTCAGTGCTGGCAACCCAGCTTTGACAAGTTTCTTTCCTTCTATCTCCTTGTGTAGGCCAGGGGGTATATAACTTCCTCCTTACAGTTTATCTACTGCTTGCTTGTCTTTACACTGGGTGCATCATTCCAGGTCACTGAGGTCTCCAGCCTTGAAATAAGGCCAACGTCGCATGGGAAGACATGCTAAGTGTGAGGAACAGGCAGAGATTTTCAGCATGAACAAATACTGAGAATTGTTTTTATGGATCTTGTCTGTGTTTTCTCTCTCTTAACCATGGATGAAAACCTCTCCTATAAATTAGCTGTGATAAAGTCATGTAAGTCTGATGTTTCATCTTAATCTGCCTTGTTTTTCTTTTTTTTTTAACATTTATTTATTTTTATTGGAAAAGTGAATTAACAGAGAGAAGGGGAAGGAAGAGAAAGATCTTTCATCCACTGCTTTGCTCCCCAAATGGCTACAATGGCCAGAGCTGAGCTGATCTAATGTCAGAAGCTTCTTCTGGATCTCCCATGTGGGTGCAGGTCCCAAGACATTGGGCCATTCTCCGCTGCTTTCCCAGGCCACAAGCAGGGGGCTGGAAGGGAAGTACACCAGCCCAGCCAGGACACAAACTAGTGCCCATATGAGAGCCCAGCACGTGCAGGGGGAGGATTGGCTTGTTTCTCAGCTGCACTAGAAAAGATGTCCCTGAATATTGAAGACTCGATTCCCTAGGCTGTAGTTCCTCTAATTCTAACATGATTAGCACCACAACTGAGCTCTGACCTCCTTGTGGACACGGAGGGAACAGCCTGAACAGTGAGGAGAAACCGGGTGTCCTCTTAGCTCAATCCCCAGATCGCCCTCAGCCCTTGGTTATAGACTAAAGAAACCACTTCCTCTGTTTTCAGAGTCAGTTCTCTAAGAGACCACAAGGTGGAGATAACCTGCTGTGTAAGTAGACCTTTAGTGGTGTAAACCGGAGCATTTGCCAATTTACAGAAGGTAATGTTTGGCTTTTCCCAGCAAATGAGAAAAGACAAAGAAAGAATTTTGTCAATGGTTAAGCTTGCAGAACTTAGTTAAATAATAATTTAAAATACCAATCTACTTATATAATGTTACTGGGATTAGAAATCTGCATCGATCAAATCTTATTAAGCCTAATTATGGTGGAGCCAGTGCTTTGGTAACTGGTCTATCCTTCACCTCCAAGCATCGGTATCCCATATGGACCATATGGGCACCGGTTCATGTCCTGGCTGTTCCACTTCCTATGCATCTCCCTGTCAATGGCCTGGGAAAGCAGAAAAGAATGGGCCAAAGCTTTGGGACCCTACATCGCATGGGAGACCTTAGAAGCTCCTGACTCCTGGCTTTGGATCAGCTCTTCTCTGGCCATTGCGACCATTTGGGGAGTCAACCAGCAGATGGAATATCTTTCTCTCTGTCTCCCGTTCTGCCTTTCCAATAAAAATAAATAAATCCTTAAAAACATCTAACTATGGTGCTTCATTTAACAAATAACTAATAACTAATTCTTTACATCTAAAGAATTCATATAATTTTTGCACAAATAAGATCTTTTCCTCTTGAAGATTTAGCAAAATCACAGTGACTCCCTTGTCATTGCTTTTTTTTCCTTTTCTTTCTTTCTACCTCTTAACCAGAGAGAATATAAAGTAACATTTTTAAAGGATACCCTGGCATATTTTATTTTTCATTTACAATAATGTTGAGTAAAATATAATGTGGAATATCTTAATCTCTATAAAAGAAACCTCTATTTTTGGCTTAAGTTTCCATTTATTTGGTGACTTCCTTCAGTTTCTCTCACATCCAAAGAACTCTTTGGAAACCTGATCACCTCTGTAGTAAATGTGAGGATTCTTTATGCTAAGCATCAGTTTAAACAAGAGCCAAAGTCAGATTTCCCTGAGCTTCCACTGTTTTTACTTCTCTTCCTCTTATCAGACCTTTACCTAGAAACTAGGAAATATTGCACAGCTTGAGGGATTAGTACTGTTCCTTCTAAACTTCAAGTACCATTTGTTTCTTTCTCAGTTGAAACTTACTAAACTCCTCCTCTTACATAACGGACCATTGAGTTGTTTGTTGTTACAATTGAAAGAGCTGTTTCTAGAACCAGAAAAAGAGCTGAGACTTCAATGGCAAGATGCAGTAAGAAACCATACTTGCTAGAAATATTTTCTCTTGCTGTGATCCAGTCTGCAGCTCTCAACAAAAAGTATTCTCAAAACTTGTCCAAACCAACACTTAGATATTGAGACCTCTTTTAATTTAATATTAATATATTAAAACCAAAGGGGAACCTCAATAATTTATCTTAATTATATGGTTATCAACATCATACTTTATTCCAAACTATCCATCATGAATTATTGCTCACAAATACTTCCTAATAGAGTCACAAGTTGAATTTTATTGATGCATATTAGATGTGCTCATCATGCAAATATTCTATAATTTAGTTATTTTGGTAAATCTTACAGTTTGGGATTTATTTTGTTGCAGAGATTCAATGTTTTGTTAATAGTTCAACTATCTACTGATGACCTGCTTGGTTTAAGGTATCAGGTTAGGTGTCCAAATTGATCCAAGCACAAAGAAAAATGAAGTTCCTAAACTTTGGAAGCTCATAATTCAGTGCAAGGGTAACAACATGACTAAAGTGGAGGCTCATGAAGAAACTGTCATGACAGAAGGTTCTGAGGAAGTGTGCTGGGGAAATTGCAAGTGAGTGCATCAGGGCTGGGGAACAAAGTGTAGAGTTCAGGAAGAGGTTGCCAGAGGATTGGTAGATGATCATGGATGTGGAAGTTAGACAAACTACAACGCAAGACACCTGCATCCTTATGATGATACTTGTTGTATTTCTATTATGTGCTGACGCCTATCTAATTTTATGCAATTTTGACTGTGTTGAAATAAGTTATTTTACACTAGAAAGAACTATAAAATTGTGGAAGGTCTAGCAAAATACTTTTGCTCATCAAATGCTTCTGTCAAAGTTAGTACAAGTTACAAGAAGGTGTAAAAATTTGAAAAAGGATGTTTTGGGGATGTTTACAAAGCCTTTAACTACCTATATATAAGTGAATAACCTGTTAGGTACATATCATAAGCACATTTCCTATGTTTGTTAAAATGGTTCATTTAAGAATTATTAATTAACCCCTATTAGTAAAGATTTAATTAATACATATTCAAGTAATTAGTGAACAAATTTTCATTGCTTTTAAAACATTATATAAATTTTATAGTTTTAACCAGGTCCTAATGTCTCACCTCTCCCAATTTCATTTATATATAGTGACACGTAATGAACAGTTGCCTAGAAAACTCGAATTTTCAGGTTCAAAGAGCACACAACATCCCCAGGAGTAGTTTCTCCCATGCCCTCAGGAGTGACTGGTGCCTGACCTGTCTGTCTTCTTCCTGAGTAGATTTATGATCTACAACAGCCAATGGAGGCTCATGTGCCAGGTAAGAAAGCTGAGACTTGGAGCGCTGCCGGAGGGATGCTCTGTAAGTAAAAAGAAACATGGGAGAGTCTGTCAGTCACAGGCAGGTTGAAACAACTCAACTGGTGAGCAAGTTTACATCACACGTGTCAAATAACAAAAATGTTTACTAGGTCACGTGCCAACCATAGAAGGGGGTTTCTAGGTGAGGTTTGATAAAGCAATTAAAGCAGAACTAACCGGGTCGATTGCTCTGAGCCTCCAGCTCAAGTCAAAGCTGCTGAGCCCAGAGTTAAAAGGCAGCCAGGGAGGGAGAAAGAGAAGGAGAACCAGACTGCCCCACCAGTTCACCTAGAACGGCTCAAGCCACAAATACATCCAGATCTACTAATTGTTGCCTTGGCAATGATCCATCACCTTTATTGCCCTTTCTATTTAGGCTCTAAAATCAGATTTTTCTCTCCCCTTGCACCCCACCTCCACTTCACAATTCCTTATGTTCACTTAAATGGGATACCACCTAGAAAGGAATGAGTTGGTAAAAAAGCAACTGGACTCTTGGTGAGATTTTCTCCAGGCTGTTTCCTGCCCCCTAGAGGCTCACTGAAGCATAACTTAGCTTCGTGTACTCATCCATGTGTTTATTCAACAGAAAACCACAGGGTTCCTAGAAACTCACAGGGTACCAATGTCAGGTCTTCTTTTGGGAGACACAAACAATAGTCAATCTTACAAAAACTTCTCCTTCAGAAAGTTTAATCTTATAGAAGAGCAATGCAAATACTTCATTTCGATGTTTGGAAGTAGGTTGAATAAAGGTTTTTGGAAAATCAAACAAAAATGAAATGTTTGGCAGGCTTCACCCAGAAAGGCTTCATGCGATGACGGCTACTGCAGGTTTGGTATTGATCTACTAGAGCAAAGAGTAATTCTGGTTGAGAGAAGAGGGTAAACACAGGCATAGACACAGGAAAAAGCAGGGTATTTGTTAAATATGCATAGTTTAAGACAAGCATAGGAAGATAATAATTCAGACAATTCCTCCTTCTGGGTGTACACCTTTTTTTCTGGGTGTACAATTTAAGAGTGTGGGCAGTATACCACACTCTTATATATCAGGCTGAAAGCATATAGCACTGAGAACTGCTGGCAGTTATGTTGAACCATCTAGGAAAGAAGTTTTCTAAAAATGAAACCCACAGTGAACACTGGAGCTGAGATGAGGGAGAGATTCTATCTAGTGTGGACAGATCACGTAAGCACCAGCTTACCCAAAAGCCAAAGGCATCTTTGGGCTATTTAGTTACGTGAGTGGATTCTTTCCCTTTAAAGGTTAAGCTCAGTTAAATTATGCTTTCAGTCAAAAGTAGGTAAAGTCTCAAATAACTGTGCTAAAGACCCGAGAGAAGAGAAGTAGCATTATCAAAGCTGTGCTTCAGAAAAAAAACCTGAAGTAAACGGTGTAAAGAGTAAAATGGTGTTAGAGAAACAGAGACCTGCACCAACTGTTACAGTGTAATCAGAACTATTCATATTCATTCTGTCTCTCTCTCTCTACACACACACACACACACACTCTCTCTCTCTTTCTCTGTGTCTTTCTCTCTCTCTCTACACACACACACACACGCACACACACACACACACATATTGTATTTAGATAAAACAAGACTAAAACAAGATTTCAAAGTGATGCTTGACTACTTGCTGTCTAATCATCTAGCTTTCTGGAGAAGCCTATATGTCATTGTGATGATTTTGTTCCACATTCTGCTGTTAATGGCATAACAGCACTCTTAGTCACCCAGGTTCAATTACATGTACATATCTCCAGCCCTCTCTCTCCACCTTGTCCCAGCACATTCAACCTGTTGCCAAGTCTCAACATGACCAGATATAAAACCACTCCACATCACCACACCCTGCCACCAAACTGGTCTCTGGGACACTCCCCATTCTTTCCTACCAGGTGTGAAACTTTACAGCAGTAGTCATTTCCTTGGGTTACATAAATAAGGACTAAATGTCTTTTCTAGAAGGTGAATGTAATAGGCTTGTGTCGCCTGGAGAAAGCAGTGTGCTTGATAGGAGTAAAGCTGAAGGTTGGGGAGCTAAAAAGTCAAACCAAAGCAACTGGACATCAAAGAGAACTACGAGAAGAGGATGTCAAGAAGTACTGACTACTCCAAGTTTTGAACATAGGAAAACCTGGGACCTTGTCCCCTAGAGAACCACTGCTTTAGCCCTATATTTCCTAAGGCTCTCTGTCCACATGCCACCTAGCACAGGCTTCCCCAAGTCCAGGGGGATAAGTGTACTAGGCTGGTGCTCTACCAGCCAGCTGGTTTCCTCTCAACTCTACTGAATGCCAGCCTAAGAATTCAACTCCTTTTCAGGAGCCTACAAGGTCTTCCACACCTCATCTCACAAGCTGTGTACCACTTCTCCTGCACACAAAGATAGCTAATTTGGGGAACAAATTGATACTTAGGAAATTGATTGCTATTATACATGAAATTGTTCTTGAATCTGCAATACACTGATGAAGAGGAATGCAGTTATCCGACGAAGCCAAGGCAACAAGATACACATTAATGTTCTACTTATTCATCTTTTAGCAAAAAAAAAAAAAAACAGCATCAGCATATCTAAGAAAATATTTTTAACATATTTTTTTCTCAATCTTATAAATCTTGTTCTATAAGAGGTTAACGCAAGTAACTTTCTGTGTTTCTGTATTTCTTGTTTTAGTCACCAAACTAGAATTTATGAGAAATTATAGCCAAATTTTAAAAATTTACCTTAAAATGATTATTTGGTCCTGATAATAAACTGAAGCTGTACTACTTTGGGTAGAATTTCATTACTCTTAAAAATTAGCAAGGTATTTATTTTCTTGTTGATGTGGCCACAGATATGTTTCCACCTGTGGCCAAAAGAAATGCCATATCCCTCTTTGTATTTAAGAAGTTATTTGGTAACTTTAGGCTGCAATTCTAACGATTCTTGTGATTTCATTTTTTTTATTGCTGATTACAGTCAGATGTCCACAAAAATTACTTAATAATTTGGATAATTTTTATATCTTGTGCTTTACAGGTAGCCTAAAGCTATTGCTTTGATATTTTGTAGACTTGTTCTCAAGTGGAAGGGAAGTAAATAATCGAAATCTGAACATCCAGATGGATAAAGAGAAGACGCATTGTAGCCTGCAACATCATTGTCTGAAGATTTGATCTTTCAGTATTAAAAACATAAAATAAATAATGTTTCAATTGCTTGGATCTGTTACTTAAATGTTAATTTTAATTTTACTTAACTGTTTTGGTAAGCTATTAGTTTCTATAACAGAACTGTTCTTCAGAACGGAGTCTTGGATTAAAAGCCCGGCAAATGGCAAGGACACTGGTACAGACAGCTGCTGTCATTCCATTACCCTTAGAGTCCCATTTTCGTGGATATGGACAAACATGCCTAGGCAGAAGTTCCTTAACACACACTCTCTATCACTAAAAGAATTTTTAAATTGAATTTCAAACCAAGATGAAAGGCTAAAACTTACAAGTGTCTCTAATAGCATATTCCAAAAATATATATTGAAAGTAAACACCTATATATCAATCCAACAGAAAATAAATAGTTCCTTTAGAGAGATTTTCTTAAATGGCTAAAAAATATATTTATATTCTAGCTACTGGAAGAATGATTTAACTTTAGGTAGAAGCATTTGTAACTCACTTACAGCTCAGTAGTTGAAGTATAGAACTAAACACATGAGGCTGATCTATAAGAGATAATATCAATTAACTTTGGCATAGAGAGACTAAGCACATATTTTAAAAAAATCTTTCAGAGCACAATAGCCAAGAGTTTAACCATACATTTTCTCCAGGATGACCTTCTACCCCCAATAATATAGGAAGTTAAACAATGAAAAATGCAATTGGAGATCTTAGTGTTTATATACCAAAGAAGGACTAGCACTGCTCAAGACCAGGGAGTGTGCTCAGGGCTGTCGTTCTACACAGACAGGACAGAGAATCCCAGCTGCAGAGTGCTCCCCAAAACATGTGAAAACCTTAAAATCTTCCCTGTGGCTTGAGCTCACCTTAAACTATCGTGATAACTCTCTCTGCTGAAGGTCTTCTCAGGCACATCATCTTCAGTTGCATCTTTTTCTAATGAACACAGTAAGAGTGACTTTTTAATGTATAAAATAAGCAGAACCATGTCCAAATGCAATTACTTACTGTATTTGCTTAGAATATACTTAGTATAACTGAGGCCAAAAGCTTCTATTAATTTTATTGCCATAAGCAAAACTTTGAACTTGTCCAGTACATTCTCACAAAAATTCAAATTATTCAGCAATATTAACCCCTTTGAACTGTATAATAACCAATTATGTCTATAGTAGTAGATAGCAACATTCATGAAAAAAACAGAAGCTCAATGGAAGCAGCAAAAAATTACAGAAGCTTCAAATTTTTCATTATTTATAATAACTCCTGGGTGTTAAAAGCAAACAACAGGGGCCAGTGGTGTGACATAGCCAGCAGCCTATGTGGATGCCAGTTTGCATCCTGGCTGTTTCACTTCCAATCCAGCTCCTTGCTATTGGACTGGGAAAAAGCAGTGGAAAATGGCTGAATGCCCAGGCAACAGCAAACTACATGGGATACCGAGATAGAGTTCCTCATTTCAACCTGACCCAATCCAGGCAATTGTAGCCAACTGGGGAGTGAACTCCAGGATGGCAAACATTTCAATGTCTCTTTATAACTCTTTCAAATAAATAAATAAATCTTGTTTTTTAAAAGTATACAATAGTTCTGTCTAAAGTGCCATTGTGAGTTGAGTGAGGGTTGGTTAATTTAGGTCAGGGTAACCACCAAGATTGAAAAGCCAGACTGATAAAAAGAAGGTACCCTAGGATGTGAATGTGTTTAATTCACATAGTCAATAAAAGTAGAGCTCTAATAGGTATAAGATATACTCTGGGAAGGCTCACTTATTTTCAAAAGGCAAAGGAAGTAGAAGTGAACATTAGAAGACCCTGGTGTTAGTTCTATGATTTGATCAAAGAAATTAACTTCCTCAGCTTCAGTCCTTTCTATACTATACCTGCCAGGACTGTTGGGTGAATAAGTTGGACAGTGAGTGTTAGAATGAATGGAAAGCCACAAAGCATTCTATATGTTAACTATTCCATACACTGGCAAAGTGTATTGGAAAAGGCACCTACCCGTCTCATCCTCTTCATTAAGGACTTTATTGCCTTGAGTTCCTTGACTTTGCAGAGTCACCAGGGTGAAGTAAACACCTTTCCTTTCCAGCAGCTCTTCGTGCGTGCCTCTTTCCACTGCTGTGCCATATTCAAATCCAATGATGACATCTGCTGTTCTGATTGTGGATAGGCGGTGTGCAACAGAAATGACTGTATGCCCTTGCTGAGTCTGTAACAACACACAGTGCACCATGAAACCAGACTGCAGGACAGAACTGGCACTGACCTTCCGATCATCTCAGAATCCACATGTAACTCAGAATCAAATCCCTAGGTACAGCCTGTGCAGACATTAAAAAAGGGTAGACCATGTTCCTGTGGCTCTAAACTCTGGCACACATTGGCTTGGTCACTACTATTCAACAAGAGCTGAAAACAGCTCCCTTCTTCCAAAAGTGGAGAGATATTTTTAATTCTACCTTTTAACTTAGTCTTCACAACATTCTGCATTTTACATTCTTATAATTTAAGCAAATTATACTGCCTTTGGCTCATTTGTGTAGAGGATTGTGATCATTCAATATCTTCTAAGTGACCTGACTAGATAGCTTGACTCAAGAAGTATCACACAGTCCTCTTCTACCAGAGCTGCCTTTTCTGAAGCACCATGAGTATTTCCACACAGGCCTATGGAATGAAATTAGACTTCGCACAAACCTTACTCAGTGCTTCTTGCACCATGGCTTCACTTTCATTGTCCAGGGCAGAGGTGGCCATGTCCAAAAGAAGGATCTTGGGGTTCCGGACGAGGGCTCGAGCGATGGCTACTCTTTGTTTCTGACCACCACTCATCTGGCCTCCTCCTTCACCAACAAGTGTGTCAAATTGCTAGAAAGAAGGTGACACCATGCATGAAAGAGAATTTGATGGCTCCTGTCAGTTGTCTAGTTTCCAAGTCCCATCTAGCTTCTTCCTCGGGCATCAACTTCCACAGATATGACTTTCATAGAAAAATAAAACCTATTCCCACAGTAGGTGATTGTTTAATTAATATTTGCTAATGGGTTAAAAGGGGTTGCTTTCTTTTATTCCCAGGCTTTATGGTGCCTGTGCATGTTCCTGTTAAGCTTCAACATTAAAGGAAAATTTCAACCAAAATAAAAATTGATCATGGTCTTGAAAATCCATCATAAGGGTTGAAAGCAGGTGTCATACTTCATCTTCTGTAGCTGGACAGTTTAGCAAAGCATGGAGGAAAGTCTGTCTTCGTATAGTGAGTATAAGTTCTCCTTAGCTTCATTATCATTGCTGTGGATAGGCAGTCAGAAATGAGCTTCCCTCACTGCACTGGAATCTACAATGGGGAAATGGTAGCCACTTTTATTTTGTGTTAACCCAGATGAACTGAGTATCCAGCACATAAAAGCACGGCAGCGAACTTTTTACATGCATTTCATTTAGTCCTCACAGATATACCATGAGGCAGATATTACTGTTTTCTTCAACTGATGAATAAAGAAATATTGGGCATAAATGGGCCAAGCAACTTGTGAAGGCCCATAAAGCAGATAAGCAGAGAAGCTGGAGTTTGCACTGAGTCAGCCCGATTCTAACTCTAAACTCTCACCTCTGCAATCCTATTCATACAGATAACCCAGAAGGCTGAGTGGGAAGTTTGCAGGATTATCGACTCTGGAGCTACACCACCTGCATAAGAATCTTGTCTGTTTCCTTGCTGTGTATAACCTTGAACAAGTTATCTGACCTCTTTGAACTTCAGTTCTACATCTGTGGACAGGAATATAAATAGTATCTGCCTGACTGGTAGTTCTGAAGAGTCAATAAATCAATACAATGCGAAGTACAAAGAACAGGGCCTGGTATGTAGCAAGCCTCATACACACATTAACTATTAATAACGCTCCAATTACCAGACCGTCAAAAGCAAAAATGATGTACACTTAATAATATGGACTTGGTTCTGTACTTGTATAGAATGAAGGTACATAAGGAATAGTTTTTGAATATGTAAAGTACACTACTAAGGTCATAATATGAGCTGCCTAAGACTAAAGATCAATGACAGCGATTGACATCAGAAAAACATTGCACAAGTCATTGCTATGTGACAAATTAAGCATCTGCTTTAAGACTACTAAACCAGGAAATAAACTGTGTCAATGTCAAAACAAGCTGTTGCTTTCTAACAAGGAAACTTCCATGTTCGGCACATTTTTATTTATAAACAACATGTTATTAAATGAAAGGGAGACTCATGGTACATTTCCAGGTATGGAACTGAAGCATGTTATTAATAATCACTTGGGGCCTGGCACAGTAGCCTAGCGGCTGAAGTCCTTGCCTTGAATGCGCTGGGATCCCATGTGGGCCCTGGCTCTAATCCCAGGGGCCCCCTTCCCATCCAGCTCCTTGCTTATGGCCTGGGAAAGCAGTCGATGATGGCTCAAAACCTTGGGACCCTGCACCCGCGTGGGAGACCTGGAAGAAGCTCTGGGCTCCTGGCTTCTAATTGGCTCTGTTCCAGCCATTGCAGTCATTTGGGTAGTAAACCATCACATGGAAGATCTTCCTCTGTGTCTCTCCTCCTCTCTGTGTATCTGCCTTTCCAATAAAAATAAATACATCTTTTTTAAAAATAACAATCACTTAGAAAGACTTGGTATTCAAATGCAAAAAAATAGGTATTTCTGCCAGCCTATTGTTTTCCCACTAGAAAGCTGGGGTACCTGTGGCAGTTCCATGATGAAGTTGTAGGCATTGGCCTCCTTGGCAGCTTTAATTATGTCTTCCATTGTAGCCCCTTCTCTGCCGTAACGAATATTTTCTGCTATGGTAGTGGAGAACAGAACTGGCTCTTGCTCCACTATCCCAATCTGATCTCTAAGCCACTGAATGTTGAGAGAGCGAATATCATGGCCATCCAAAGTTACCTGGAGAGCACAAAGACAGCATCACATCTCGTGGAATTCTTCAGGGATCTGAGTGGTAATCGTAGCTGCACTTGATCAATAGGAGAAAAAAAATAGAACCCATCAAGACTGCAACCAAAACAATTCTTCTTGAAACCTAGTTGTCTAAGAACAACTTTAATTGAAATCAAACAGCAGTTGATTGGGGGATAAGTCTGTGTCAAAACACAAATTGCCATGAAGGTTGTTCAAGTAAACACTGCTAGCCCAGGAATGGACAAGTTTTTCATTCCTCACTAAGCAGTAGAGTCACAATATTTTGATTATTTTATCTTTTGATTTGCAGCCAAAAGGATTTCAAAAAATAAATAAAAAATTAGTGACTCCTATCTTGCACACTACATGCTTTGTGAGAAATCTTACTTTCTGGCCAGATTCATCAAATCACACTTTGTTTTCAAAAGAAATTGAAATTGTAAGTGGGAGGAAATAAAAATGACTATTAGCAAAAATGTAAATATCATACATCAAGATATACATATATATAATCACAGTGTAGTTTTGGTAAGGAATACACAACCAATAATGAGGAAGCTACGAACAAGGGAAACTCTTAGGTTTACCACGTCAGTGTAACATTGCATGAATGATAAAGACACCATTGCATTGAAACCATTTAACACAAAGCCAAAGGGGAACATCTGAGGGTATCAGATTTTAATAAACATGACTTTAGGGCTGAAAAGATTATGGGCATTGGCACCCAACACACCCGAGTTCAAGCTATGGCTTGATCCCTTCCTCAATGAGTGACCAAAACACATCCTCTCTCTGATTCTCTTCCTCCTCATTTGAAAAAATGGGCCTCGGAGTCTTTGGGGGAGGGCTCATTGTAAAAACAGGAAACTATAAAGTATCTGATATATCATATGCTATAAGTAAATGGCAATTGTTAATATTATTGTCAAATTTCAAGGAAAAAGACTACATTGAGAAATTATATAAAAATGTTTAAAACTCAATTTCTCAAAGTCATCAAGACCTATTCTCTGTTACCTTCTAACCATATTAACTTTTCTGTGCTTAGATTTTCAGAAAATAAGGGAATGCTGATGATTTTGCAACATCCACAAAAATAACTGGAATAGAGACTTCACTGAGGAGGCAGTAAGATCACCGTGGATTGTGTGCTGTTTCAGTTACAATGCCCAGCACATGAAGCAGACTGGTAATGAACCAAGCATCATCACCACGTAGGCACTGTGTCCTGTCAATTCAGCCAAAAATCACTATGCCAGTGTCAGTGCTAGGATAATGTCTGTGTATTCTAGGCCTGTTGGACACAATCTCCCCCTTATTCTCTCCTGGCTCCATTTATTGAGAAGGTCCTAGAGGATACACACCATGCCTTCTGAAGGGTCGTAGAACCGCTGAATGAGCTGCAGTGCTGTGCTCTTCCCAGAGCCACTGGGCCCTACCACAGCTGTCATCTCCCCTGGCTTAATCACCATGCTGAGGTTCTTTAAAATCTGAGGAGGAAAGAAAACAGCAGAGTTCAGATAGCCACTGTGTATTAAAGTCAATCCTCAAGCTGCAAGCCAGAGTGCCTGGTAGGTGAGCGCATGTGAATTTACCAGCGGTTCCAAAGCTGTAGCCATTAATTTCCATAAGCAAAAGGAAACAGAACTGGGAAGATGAGGTTTTAGAAATCAGTGTATTACCTAACAGCTGTGGCCAAAACTAAAATGCAAACCTTACAAATTATGGTCCAAGATCTACTCTAAAACTACTAACGTGTAAGGCTGCCTCAAGGAAACTACCCCAGTTGTATTGAGTCCTACTTTGTGATTTATGTTTTACTAAGTACTTTTACATACATTATGAATTTGGTGCTTAGGTGCACATGTATTATAAACTACTAAAAATATTTTGGATATGTAATCAGAATATATATTTGTATATATTTAAATGTACAGGTTAAATGCACATACATCTATATACTTGTAGTATGTATTCAGAGCTATGTATTTACATATATTTATATGACATCAATATATATAATGTAGATTAATATCTAGACATCTACATATAATGCTACAGCTACATAAATATTTTGAGTATTCTGTAACACGTATACCACACACACAAATGAAGTCACTCCAAAAGATTTCTGAAAGAAACGGAATTTCAGGTGGATTTAACCTAGCAGCTGTCATCTATGGGGGTGCCCACGTCCCACACTGGAGTAACTGGGTTTGGTTTCTGACTCTGGCTCCTGCTTCCTGCTAATGCAGTCCCTGTGAAGCAGCAATGATGACTCAAGTAATGAGGTTCCTACCACCCACGGACTTCCTGGATTCTTGTTTGTTACTGGCCCTGAAAAGGTTGTTGTGGGTATTTAGGAAAAGGAAACAGTGAATGAATGCTCTCTCTCTTTCAAACTAAAAGAAAAAAAAAAAAAACGGGTGGGGGGCGGAGATTGTTGGCATTGTGGCATAAAGAGTTACACTGCCACCTGCAATTTTAGTATGTCAAATGGGAGTCAGTTCAAGTCCTGGCTGCTCTGCTGCCAATTCAACTTCCTGCTAATGTATCCAGGAAAAACAGTGGGTGATGGCTTAAGTTCTTGGGTCCCTGCATGCATATGGGACATGCAGATGAAGCTCCTGGTCCTAGCTTTAGCCTGGCCCAAGAAAGGTCATTGCAGCGATTTGGGGAGTGAACCAGCAGTTGAAAGATTTATTTTTCCTCTGTCTGCCATTCCTCTCTGTAATTCTGCTTTTCAAGCAAATAAAGCAAATGTTTTTTAAAATATGAATTAGAATGTAAGTTTATTTTGGTATAAAAGTTTTGAAAACCATATGTGATATTTTTACAATACATATTCTCTATGAACTTTTTGAAGAAGTCCATATCTAATATTTACCTTGTTTCTCTCTGTGAGTGCTTACGTGTGTGTGTGTGTGTGTGTGTGTGTGTGTGTGTGTGTGTATGTGTGTACATGCCCCTACATTGTAGGTGAGATTGAGTTCTGTGGGGATAACAAAAACGTTGTTAATAAAATGTGGCTGGAGATTCTCGGTTTCAAATGAAGAATAAATCTCGTTTCAAAGCCATTCATATGGGTTTTGGTAGTGATAGATCATAATTTTCCTGTAGAGTAAATTTTCTTTGAAGATATTTGCTCTATAAACACAAGAAAACGATACATTTCCATAATCATGTCCCAAGGACAATTATCTAACAAGAAACATAGACAACATGACTCAGCTACCCTCCTGCAGGAACTGAGCCCGTAACCTTGGTGAACCAGCAGATGAGAAGTACAAACCTATGGACAGTGGGTGTCCCTTGCTGCTTCCTGCTCAACTGCTCTGTGTGCTCATCTCCTACAGGCCCTCAGGAGTCTGACTGCCTTGCAGAATGTCTGGTGTAAGACAGTAATGGCAGGATCCATCACTCCATTCAACAAGAAACCCTATAGCTGATGCAGTGTGAGTATGCTGCTGGACCATGTTCCAACAAGAAATGTTTGTATAGGGTGGTTCTGACAGAGGAATGTGGTGTCCTCTGAGATGACTCAACAACTGTCATAGACACATGCTTCTCTTCCCTCTCCCAAGACCGGGGTCAGGTGTCAGAAGGAAGAACCTTTGGCTAGGAAAATGACTCTCCCCGACACCATAAAAAATGTCCATTGCTCCTGGCAAGAAAGACTGGTACTCACCTTCACTTCTGGTCTAGAAGGATAGTGGAAGGTCACGTTATGGAATTCAATTTCACCCTTGATTCTGTCTAGTTTGTAACCATCTTCTGACATGCAATCAATGATGGGTTTCTGGAAAGAATAGAAAAGGGATGTGACAACAGCAGGTGTTATACCAATTATTGTCCATCTTGGCTCAAATTTATTCACAAAAACCAAGCCAAACACTATTGACATATGCTAGAGACAAGTTGCTTCCACACTAAATAATTACTAATAAGAATGAATTATCACTACTATGTATTGAGATATTGAATATTATGAATATTAGTATATATGAAATTATATTTTATTATAGTCAACTAATTCTTTAATGACAATTATTTATTATTGATTGTAAATATTAATATTACTTAGCATAGAAATACCATATCATGTATAACATCCCTACAACATATAGTAATATACTATGATAAATACATAATACATAAATAATAATACATTATTATTTCAGAATTACACTCTTGAGATACTATAATGGAGACAGTTTACAAGGTGTTTTAGTGTGCTTTTATAATTTATGTACTTGACATCACAACTTAACAAGACAAGTGTTATAACCATTTCTCAGTTGATGAAGTGAAGGAGTCTCAAAGAGTTTAACTTTCTTACCTAACACTACACTACCAGCCACCAGGCTGGGGTGATGCTGAGCATCCATTTTAGATACTGATTAAAACTGAATGCCCTCAAGTTATGTCTTCATATACTACCAGTTGCCACAACAACTTTCTCCTGTGTTGTTAGTAGCCAGCCTTAGGTAGAACATCACCGTTCTGGCTAATCATAGTGAAGGCTGCCTCCTACTTCCAGAACTCCAGGGCCAGCGCTTTCCTGCGTCTATAGTTGCTGATAGAAATCAATCGCCACAGTTCTCTTAAGGAGTATAATTTAATGTGTTTTCTTCTTTGGTCTTTAATAAAGATGATAAAAGTGTTGAGGGCCTTTTGGAGTTATCACTTCATTTGACCGTACAACAATCATAAGAATGATAGCCACACAAGAGCTCAGCACTTTGATGCAGTTTTCAGCATCTCTGTACCCCCATGTACATATGTAACGAAAACATAAAGCATGTGGAACAAGGAGTAGATTCCTTAGGCAGGCAGGCTGTAGCCATTTCCACTTCAGGGATTCTCAAAGTACCTTGAAATGCCCAGGGCTTTTACCCCAGTCCAGGGCATGTTTACTGAGAGGAAGAACAACACGCTGCCATCTGCCTTTTGCCCTTTCTATTGGCAGAATTTTGACTCTTCTGGGTGCTGTGAAGAGATTCACCAGCAGATAATAGCCTTGCTAACAAGATCCTTGACAAGGTAATGGAGACTTTCAGCCATAGAGAAGGCAATCCAGTTTTTTAACTGTGGTCCTGAAGTTTTATGTAAACTGGTTCCTTTCCATTAGTCCAACCTTTTCCCTTGTTCACATAATTCAAATACAATGGACTTTCTAATTCTTGATGTAACTAGACCCTTTCAAATCTTACCCCAAATACCACCACCTCCCTGTGCAGTTGCTACCATTTAAACATATTTTGCTTCCTTCATTGCAGTCAGCTACTACCTAAAATTATCTCAGTTTGCTTTCTTACATTCTGTTGGCTAGTCTGAGTTTGAGAGCAGGGCCTTTATTTGTTCTAATTCACTGCTGTATTCCCAGCATCAAACAGCTTTTTGTATATATTGCAAATGCGAGGGCATCACAATTGTTCCTTACAAGACTGGATGTTGTTTGTTCCCCCAGAGTTTCATATGTTGCATGTTTCGTTCCCAGGGTGGCAGTGATGGGAGATGGAGTGGACCTTAAAGTGGTGGGGCCTGGTGGGAAGTTCCTAGGACATGAACAGTGCTGCCTTCAGAAAGAATTGAGGTGTTTGTTTTGGGATTCTGGTTTGTTCTGTGAAGAGAATGGTTTAAAAACCTGGGTCATTCCTTCTCAGTCTCACTCTATCTTCCCTTTCCAAATTTTTATCCTTCCCACCATGTGTGCTGAGCCACCTGGTGTGAGACCCCATGCCATGCTGTTAGGACTTTCAGCTTCCAAAATTGTGAGCTACATAAACATATTCTCTTTATAAACCGATCCTGCCTCTGGTGTTTTGTTATATTGAATGCCAAACAGAATAACACATTTCTCATTTTTTTTTTTACACTGAGAATAAATTCCTGAAGAGTTTAGTCCCCCTCCCTCAACCTATCCCGCTCCACTGGTAACCTTGATTTTGGGTTTTAACATACCCTGTCTATGGTCTCAAAAATACTGGAGGCTGCTGCACGCCCGGCGGCAAAGGCTTCCAAACACGGAGAGGCATTGCCAAGATTTAAAGCTCCAACTATGACACTGAGGAAAATCTGAAACAAAAAGAGAGAGACACTGTTTGCTTGCATTCTTGCTCTTGTGCTAATAAAGCTCACCACATTTGGGCCAACCATGGCAACTCAGAGATTTCTTTCAAAAATATACCTCAAAAGCTGGAAATTCAATAGTTCTGTCTCTTTCAAACACCTGGAGCAGCTTTTGATTAAAAAGCCAATTTTTCAAGGATATTACTTAAAATATTACATTGCTTTTTACTGAACATCATTCTTCTATGAAGCAGAATATGTGAGTTTTTTAAAGATTACTTTTATTTGAAAGGCAGAATTACAGAGAGAAGGAGAGACAGAGAGAAAACTCCACAGAGTGGTTTACTACCCAGACGGCCACAATGGCTGAAGCTGAGCCAATCCAAAACCAGAAGCTTGGAGTTTTTTTAGGGAGTCTTCCACTTGGGTACAAGATCCCAAAGGCATGACCAAATTCTGCTGCTTTCTAAGGCCATTAACAGTGACCTGGATCAGAAGTGGAGCAGCCAGGATACAAACTGGCATTCATTTTAAATGCTGGTGTTGCAGCCTATGCATCAACCCTCAGAAATTTGTTTCGAAATTATTAAAAATTCCAGGTAATGCAGCATATGGACAAATTGGCTTAGAATAGTAACCATTTGATTCATTGTATCATAATGAGCCTTATAGTAATTTTATAATTAAAGAGTCAGCTAAATAATAAGTTCACTTAAGTCAGCTTGATTGTCCAAAACGTGTGTACATACATTACTGATCTGCTACTGCTCCATTACTTTTACTGAAATAACTACTGCCTCAATTACTACTACACTACTATTACCCAACTATTAACAAGAGTAATAATAAGAAAGTAGGTTTCTAAGTGCTTTATCTATATTATCTCACTTGACCCATAACAAAACAGAAATGAGACAGGTGTGGAGGTTCTTAAGTTGCCCTTGATCACAACATGCATGGAGCAGTAGAGCAGTATTTGAATACAGACTGTTGACACGCATTCTGTATAGGTTCATCAGGTGCTGGTGGCACACAGGTAGAATGGTCAATTTCCTATAGAGAGCTCAGGACACCATCCTTTGATTCACCAACACAGCCAACTCATTCCCCTGGGGGAAAGTGACCTGATCCTGACCAGAAATTGCTACCAAATAGCAAATTACTACCCAGGTGCCTCTCCATTCTGATTCCTCTTTGGATTGGGAGTGGCTAGACTATGGAGAGGCTCAGAGTTTGCATTCCACACAGTAGGATAACTAACAATGCCACTGTTAGTCCATGTAGGTATGGGCTAACTCATTCATGTCTTCCTCCTCTAAACCCCCAGCTAAGGGGCCTGGCGCAGTAACCTAGTGACTAAAGTACTTGCTTTGCACACACTGGGATCCCATATGGGTGCCAGTTCGTGCTCTGGCTGCTTCATTTCCCATCCAGGTCCCTGCTTGTAGCCTGGGGAAGCAGTTGAGGATGCCCCATAACATTGGGACCCTGTATCTACACAGGAGACCTGGAAGAAGCTCATGGCTTCTGGTTCCTGGCATTGGATCAGCTCAGCTCTGGTTGTTGTAGCCACTTGAGGAGTGAACAAAGATCCTTCTCTCTGTCTCTCTCCTCTCTGTAAATCTGACTTACCAATTTTAAAAAGTCTCAGCTAAGAATGGGGAGGATTATTCTTTCTTTATCTGTCTATCTTATTCTTTCCCTCAGTTATAACAGGTGGTTCTCACATAGGCAGGTTACTTAAAGCTTTGAAACTTCATTTGTTTCTTTATCTGTAACACAGGGATAATGGTAGCATATACTTCATAGGACTGTTTTGAGGATCAAATGAGATGCTGTGCAGATGATGATTAGTCCAGCACTAGTTATATAAAGAATAGCAGAGATGACAATAACAAGGAAAGGTTCAAAGGCCCACACTTAGGACATTGGAAGATAAGTAGATAGGGCAGTTTTCTAATCTGATTTAAGACCACAGTCCTGGGGCCAGTAACATGGTATACAGGTTAATTTTTGCCTGCTGCCCTGGATCCATATGAGTGTTTGTTCATGGTTCCAATACAGTTTCTTGCTTATTGCCTGGGAAAGCAGAGGAGGATTGTCTAAGTCCTCAGGCCCCTGTACCTGCATGGGAGACCTGGCAGAAGTTCCTGGCTCCTAGGACCAGCCTATTCCAGCCATTGTGACCTCCCTACCTCAGCAAAGAAGCCCTTCTACATGTCCTAGATCTGGGGCTGACAGACATTTCCTGTACAGGGCCAAACAGGCGATAGTTAAGCTTCTTTGGCCACAGGACTTCTGAAATAATTGTTTATCTCTGCCATGCAGTCCCAAAGCTGCCATAAGCAACAAGCAAATAAATTATTGTGGCTATGTCAAACCAAACATTAATGAAATGGGCAATGGACTGGATTTGGTCTGTGGGCTATAGTCTGAGGTTTGGAGCAAAGCCTCAGTCTGTCTATATAAGCTATTGTGTCATACAAATTCCTCTCTGGAAGTTCTTGGGGCAGAAGTAATGGAGACAGGACAGATGTATGGACCAAAACATCACAGTAGCCAGCACATATGCAAATAGATCAGCATTTTTGATGCTGGATGTAACACTCATTAGTCTTGTGGACAACTACATGGGACAAACATGGGAAGAAAGACTGCTGTAGCACCTGAAGTCATAGAGATCTGAGGTTAAATACCACTCACTGGCGCCTGGCACCTGTTTCTCAACCTCTATTCATGTTTTGATGTGGTAATATAATGACACCAATTAGCAAATGAAGATGTGATCATTACATATTATAATGAGATTAAGCATCTCAGTGCTCAATACTTTGCATGCAATGGATGAATGTTACTTTCTATATTGTGATTACTGTATTAGTCAATCATAAAGTTAAGAGGTGCATGAGAGAACTGTCTCCTGTATCATTTAGGTACCCATCATCTTTTGAGAACAGACGTTGGAATACAATTTCTGACTCTGTACAAGTAATAATAATTTCAGTCACTAACATAAACCACTTACCATGCATACCCAATTACCATGTAGCCAGTAATCATTATGGACCTCAAACAATCTGTTAGATTTTCCTGTTTATTTGTCTGGTGGATTAAACCTCAACTCAGCTGATGCATACTCAAGCTTTATAGTTTCCTGCTGCTAAGTAAGGCAAAAATGTATGTATGTGTGTGAGAGAGAGATAGAGAGAGAGAGAGACAGAGAGAATACAATGGAAAAATGTCTGTTGTTTCCCAAAACAAACATTTCTTAAGGTAGTGTAAGGCATATAAGCTAGGGTTAGTAACAGAGGAGTAAGAGGTTAGTATGTAATGACTAAGATGTTAGAGACACGCGGACTGCTTTTTGTAAGAAGTCTACAGAAAGGAAGTACGAAGAAGTGACAGTTGAAAGAATGAATTATTTACAAGAGTTGGAAACTATATCTATAAATTTCTAAGAAGATGTAAAGCAGCCCACAACTCAACTGGGAGGAAAATGAAAGATGACAATCATAAAATTGGATTCTTTGTAGAGAGTTGCTAAGGGGTTTTTTATGCAGCGTGCTTCCAATTGGAATTGTGCATTATTTAATTTTCACTTTACCATTTCATTCTTCTCTCTGAATGATTATTTGTGCATTTTTCTATCCTCTCCTTGTAGGGATGAACTAAGGAAACAACAGCTTTTCTCAAAGCATATCTTTCTGCAAGCTGGGTCCAATGTCAACTACTGCTATCCCCAGCTTGATAACTGTCAAAAGCTCTTAGGTATAATTGGATTAATAAAGCCAAGGAACTTTATCATCAGATTTCAGACCTGCAGTATTTTCAGTGACTTTTTCAAAATGTGAAACAATATCTAAGTTGTAAGGAATGTGTCTTAATTATAATAAGAGTAACACTTTTCATGATCTCTTTAAAGTTTGCAAAAATAGTTTTACATGCATTATCATGTTTAAAATTTTAAGGCACAGAGATACATAAACTGTTTTTGCTGAAAAGCAAATTACATTTTTAAAAAGTTGTTTCAATGCACCATTGTGTTCTTAATGAAATGGAGTTAGTGGATTGGAACGATTGTGGCTTGAACACTGGCAATCATGTCTATTTGCAGATCAATGCAGCATTTAGCTTCCCCCCAGAAATGTGCTGTATTACAGCAATAGATCTAGAATTGTAAGTTTTCTGCTGGTAAAAATCTAGGACTTTTTATATTTCTTGTTGTCTAATTGGTGATTGTTCCATTCAAAATCCTGAGCCAAAATATTTTATTTAGGAATCTGATGTGAAATTACTTTCCATTTTGTGGAACTTGCAGTCTGAAAGAAAGAAGTTTGGAGAGCATAAATAATTGCAAATGTTCCATATCATGCAAGTCCTTTGAAGGAAGACTGCAAATGCTACAAAAGAGAATAAAACATTAGGTGATTCTGAAAGGCCTGCCTGGGAAAGTGACATCCAACAGAGAATTCAACACTGAATGCAGCTGTCATGCCAGGGAATCACATTATGAGGAGGAAAGGCCCTTGGAGAAGAAGCAAGACGAGAAGCTTTCCTTGACCCCACTAACAGCTAATTCCTCTCCTGCTGCTGTTCAAGCTTCCCTGCACCTTACTATGTCAATATTTGCCATTACCCATTGGCATGATTGCTTCATGATTGATTGTCTTCCCCAGGAAAGTATGAGTTTCCTCAATGGACAAAAAACATATATATATTCTTGGCTCACTACTGAAACCCCTGTGCTTGGTGTGGATCTGCCACCCAGTCGAAGCTCAATAACCACTTAGCAAATGAGTAACCAAAAGGACACTGAAAGCAGTCATGTCATTAGCTGTGGCTGGGCACAGACTAAACGAATAATAAAGTAGGTTTTGTATTACCTGTTCAGTTGAGAATATTATTGATTTGGGTTTTAATCATTATGTATCACAAACACCAACAGGGCACATGCCTTGTACAATTTTGAAACTCAATTACATGAGCTGTTAAATTTTAGCTAAGAGATTATTGACATTACATATTAAGAATCATCATCTTACCAATTCAGTCAGAAAATCATCATTTTACAGTTATACAATCTTCACTTCATTAGCACTCACCAAATTGTTGGTCTCATTAGTTCAGAAGTTTAGTATCCCTTTATCATAAAGTGCACATGCATTGCTTGTTCTGCTGATGGAAGCAATCCTATCATTGAGGCCTTCCTCTTTCAGCACTAAATGACTGAACAATGTGTCTATCCTCGGACTTTTTTGAGGTACTGTCACTAATTACTCTGACAGCTGGAAATGTTACAAGATCAAAGTACCTGGACAAGGGCTCCAGGTGAATATTCTCCTTCATCCAGGACGAGCTTTGAGCCGTACCAGAAAGCCAGTGCATAACAGAGGAAGATGAGACACCACATGTATCCAGTAAAGAAGCCCATCACTATGCCTTTCCTAATCCCCCATCGTTGTGCAAATATAAGATTTTTCTCATACCTATAAAAAGAAAATGTTTGAGTCCATGGTAGCAACAGCTGCAACTTAATTTATAATATTCCAAATACACTACAATGCAACAGCTACACTCAGTGACAAAGAGATCACCTCTGCTTTAGGAACAGAAATCTAAGGTACTGTCTGTAATTACTTAATGGTTACTTGAACATGGCAACAATACATGTTTGATTTGGTTGATTGTTACATGGATGAAAAACACTAGGCTAGCCTTTGCCTCCAGAGAAAAGCGTGTTTAGACATGAGGTATCCAGCACAAGTTGTTTTTGAATAGCTTCCTTGATTCCCTTGATGTGTTTTTCTAATAGAAAATAATATTGTTGGCTCCAGTGATACAAGTCAGATTCTTTGAGTGTTTCCACTTCTCAGGGCTGGAGTTGTTAGCACCAGCACACCTGCATACACTACACATTGGCTCTGTGGCAAAGATGCTGTGTGACATCCTTTCTGGTCAGCTACACAGCCATGGGACACAAACAACTGAAACTAAATTTAAATTCAACATGAGGAACAGATAAACTTCAGTAACTTGATGATTTGGTGATAAATGATGGGCACTGTCTGACAACTCAACTGTTCTGAAATTACTTTCCTGTATCTCAAAAACTAAAATCATGGGGAAATTTAATAGTTCACAGGACACAAACTAAAGATGTGTGCTAAGTTTGCCATATTGAAAACACGTTGTCCATTTTATTAACAATAAAAAATAACCTTTCTCATCACAGAGGAAATACACCATTGAGTTTATAATTGACAAGAAGAACTATAGTAACTGAATAGTGGGTACAAAAGAAGATATTATATATTATAGATCCTATCTCTTCCTTAATGAGTTTGGTGGAAATTGAGAATGACATGATATTATCATATCTACATTGCATAAAATAAGAGTTTCTATCCAGTGGGTGGTTATCTAATGAAATCAACACGTAGCACATGGCAAAAACTCAATAAATATTAGATAAATTAAATAAACAAGATAATATTCTGATGATTCTTTTTTTTGCCACATGTGTTCTTAGAGCTAGCCTCTAGAACAATGGCCAATAATATATTGTTAATAAATTACGTTTGATTAATTGAAAAGCTTATCAAGTGTACCAAGAAGAGATATCAATTCAGTAGATAAATTTGACTGTTAACTTCCTCTCCTTTTATGATAGCTTCTCTCAATACATAGAAATGATGTTGGTTTTTATACACCGATGTTTATAACCTCAGCGTTAGACAATTTGTTTATTGCAGCCAACAGATATTTTTCTTGGTAAAAATAAAGTCTTTATTATATTTAAGTAATCTGAAAGGAGAAAAAATTTAATTTATTCCTTTCTAATTTAAATGCCTTTTATTTATTTCTCTGTCTAATTGTTCTGTTAAAAACTTCCAGTAATATATTAAAAAAAAGTGGCAGGGCTGGCATTTTGGCATAGCATATTAAGCTACCTATGACATCGGCATCCTGGAAGGGGACCGGTTTGAGACCTGGCTGCTCTACTTCCAGTTCAGTTCCTTGCTAACACATCTGGGAAGGCAGAAAAGATGGCACCTCCAGCCACATGGGAGATCCAGATGAAGCTTTGGGCTCCTTCTAGCACAGTCCCAGCCAAGGTAGCCATATGAGGGCATTGTTCGTTAAATATTCTTTTTCTTGCCTAACTTTGACATGTAGCTAATGCTGGCTTTATAAAATAATTTTGAAGTACTATTTCCTCTATTTTCTGAAAAATTTTGAGAAGGACTAGTCCTCCTTCAATGTTTGCTAGACTCCAACAACATTTTAACAGAAGAATTTTTATTACTGATTCCTTATTTATATTTAATCTGCCCACATATTCTATTACATCATCATTTAGCCTTTGGTTGTTTTACATTTCTAGGAATTTATCCATTTCTTCTAAGTTATCTAGATTGTCTTGACATAATGATTATGGCAGTCTCTTATGAGTCTTTGTATCTCTGTGGTGTTATTTATAATCTTTCTTGCAGGCGTTTCTTAATTGGCAGAAAACAGCATTACACATACTATCACATTCTGAGATAAATATCTAACCTAAACTGGCTTTCTGTAATCACCAGTTGTAACACCTTCAAAAACACATAGTCAAAGGCTTGGGGCTACCTGCAATGCTTTGACTAATCTAAATCACTGGTTTTGCAAACTTTTGAACAAATTGTACCTTAGAGTATTGTAGACCAACACAGATCTACCACTTGCACAAAATAAGGAAAATTCAAGGTATCGTGCAGATTCACAATCCAAGAAAGTGACAACGAACCAACCTTTCAACTTCTTTTTTCTCACCACCAAAAGCAGCCACTGTCCGCATAGATGAAATGACCTCATCAGCCACAGACCCTGCCTTGGCATAGGCCTTCAGCTCAAAGTCTGTAAATTTGGACACACTCTAAAATCCAAAAGGAGAAAGAAAAACCAATTTGTTATTCAGTGATTGACACATATTAAGAAACATTTAGCAATTGGTCCTGTATCTTGTACTATGGCAGTGAGAACAAAAGCATACAAAACCCACTGATAACTTCTAACATTACACATGTGTGTCCAACTCTCCTTACTTTGTATGCTCCACCTTAGAATCAAACCTAGTAAAACTGCTTGTATCATTTTATGGAAACAAACATGCATAGATCTGAACAAACACAGGAAAAAAATCAAGTACAGAGCTAAAATATTCCAAATCCGTGACACGTTTACATAAAGTTAGAATATGGGCACAAAAATGAAAAATAAAGAAATGAGAAATCTGTTTAAAAAGAGTTAACTGGGCAGTGTGTTCGGTTTTTAGCATATCAAGGCTTGATCCATTTGAGTTTGCATATTAACTAATCACAGGTTTGAAGAAAGTTAAAGGTACTGAGGTGTGGGGGTAGAGAAGCTGAATACAGTGTTGACAGAGACTCTGAATTCCCTTTGTAGAAGTTAAAGGATTCTGAGGTGGAACTGGATACATCCTTATTTCCCATGAATATGATTTACTACTGTAAAATTACTAAGCAAACATCAAAGTAGTCATGATTGTGTTGACTGAATGTAGTCAGAAAAAGAAATTTAAGATTCATATGTATGACTCTTCTTTTCTTGGAGAGAAGTAAAATGACCCCCTTACCAAACCTATGATAGCTGCTCCAAATCCAATAAGAGGACTGATAGAGATAATAACCAAGGTCAGTTTCCAACCTCTGTAAAATCCCAACAGGAAGCCGAAGACCGCTGAGGTCATGCGTTGGATGAAGACAGCCAGTTGGTCAGCGATGGCGTCATTGATTTTATTGATATCACTAGAAATGAGAAAGACAAGGATCACAGAAACTGAACTTGGTCAATTAAAATGTTTTGCTGAAAATTCTCATTCTTTCCCTTCTAAACCACCTCCGTATCTCCATTACTCTCAAGTAGCAGATCAGCCTCTCCCACCTTGGATATTTTTCTGCACTTTGGAATACCATCAGCATGCCATCAGTATGACATCCTCATAGCCAACTAAGTTTGTCCTTAACTCAGTTGACTCAACTTAGGTCAAAGTAAATGTTGACGAAAACCTCTACAGGGATCTTATTTCTCTTTACTCGGTCTGTCTTCAAGCACCTCTTTTTGTGACTATTAAATCTTTCTGCTTCAAAGTTCTAGTCACATTGCACCTCATCCACAAGCGTTGTGTAACCGCCCCCACCCCCTCCAGAGGAATACAGCTGTGAAGATCACAGATACTCTAAATGTGAAATTAAGCTCTTCAGTAAATTACTTCAGCATTTTGTGTCTTAACTTCCTCATATATTATGGACATAGTAACACAACTTGTTCCTCCCCAACATCCCAGGCAGAAATGAGGACTAAATTAGGTAATATACGTAATGCTTCTAGAATAGTTGTCATCAAGTAATAAGCAATCAGTATGCATTATCTTAGATTATTTACTTGTTTGTTCCTCTTATCCCTCCTGCTAGATTACAGATTCCTTAAGAGCAGGAATAAAAAATAGTGATTCTGGGTCCGGCGGCATGGCCTAGCAGCTGAAGTCCTCGCCTTGAACGCACCGGAATCCCATATGGGCACCAGTTCTAATCCCGGCAGCTCCACTTCCCATCCAGCTCCCTGCTTGTGGCCTGGGAAAGCAGTCGAGGACGGCCCAAAGCCTTGGGACCCGGCACCCATGTGGGATACCCAGAAGTTCCTGGTTCCTGGCTTCAGATCGGCATAGCATCATCGGCCGTTGCGGTCACTTGGGGGATGAATCATCGAATGGAAGATCTTTCTCTCTGTCTCTCCTCCTCTCTATATATCTGACTTTCCAATAAATAAATAAATCTTTAAAAAAATAGTGATTCTGATTTTTAACTGGATATACTTACGTTAAATTCATATTCCTGAGAACTTTCCTTTATTTTCTTGTCCAGAATGAACAAAGAGGACTTGGGCTTTAATTGAAAGAAAGCTCTTAAGACATTATCCAGCACTAAGACTACCTAATTTGAGCAAGGTGAAACATCTATTCCAGGTTCCAGCATGTAGAATGTGGAGCAGGTGCCGGGGTCAGGGGTCTTCTGTCTGCTTTATTTTCACCGTATTCTTTCTTCAATCAGACTTCACTGTTTAGTTCAATAACCTTCTACTATTTCTAACCACTCAGGGCTCACTCAGATTCTCCAGTGGACTAGGAATGCCTTAAAACATTGTGGTATCAATTAGATTTAAATCCAATGTTTTAGTTTGACTCTTTCTCAAAGTATAATTAGAAATTCTGTTCATTTTTGCTTGCAGAAACTGCCTCCACAGAAATGTAAGATAAATATTTTGGACTGGGTTGATTTCCTTACCTATGCACAGATTGTGATATTCTCCAATTTTTCCCTTTGAGGATAAATGCTCCTACTTCTTTAATCTCATTCCTATAACAATTCATTTTTAACACTGAACCCAAGAGTTTACAAACTAAACTGCAGCATTTCATCTTTAATTGTTAGTGTTGCTAAGGAAAAAAACTGTGAGACCTTTGAAAGTCCAGCTTAAGAGACAAATATGTGTCAAAAAAGGAAAATATTTTAAAGTTATAATTCGATATAGAAATAAGTTTCACTGAATTTTTTTAAAATACACATGTGAAAAGCATTTCTCTCCCAGTTACTTACTCAGAGAATCTTGTATTCAATTCTCCCACTGAATTGCAGTCAAACCATCCTATTTCCATTCTCATTATCTTCCTAAAGTAAATTTTTCTCATTTTTTGTATCTGATGAGCTGCAGCAAGTACCCAAAAGCATATCTGAAAAGGACAAAGGGATGTCTAACTTTGTGATCTTACAGGTAATTTTTTAACTTCTTTTTTCAGAAGAAATATTTTCAATGTCACAATGGAAAACAATGGGGAAATCACTCATAATAAAACCTTTTCTGAGGATTCAGGTATGTGTGCAGACAACAGATTATGAGTCAGGGTAGACAGAACGGCATCAGACAGGACAACCAAAAATGGGTCAGCTCCAGCTCTGACATTTAACAGACCTCTGACTTTGGTACTTGGGTTATCATGGTTCCATAATTTCATGAACAAAATTAGATTCACACGATCAAAAACGTTATTGCTTTTAAATCAATACTTTTAGATGTCACTTTTGAGTGACGTTTTATCTTGAGAAGGCTGTCTACAAGCATTTATGCATAGTTTTCAGATGAGAATTGTCAGGAAATATCTGAAAAATTACTCCACTGTTGATAAATTTCCCTTAACTACAAAAAGTGAGCTATTATGAAAACTCCCAGTGTCAGAATGGGAAAATGGTTTTATTTCTCCTTTTAAGTGACACAACTTGGAATTCTTGAATAAATCAGACCCGTCATCATTATTTTTCTGTAGAAAAAGACAACAGTTAAAACAGTTTACTTCCCTAATAAGAGCTAAGTAATCCTTAGCCCTTCTCTCACTTCAGTCTAGAATGTGCTCTAGATTTAGATTTACAGAATTAGGGTTGGGAGGCAATTTGTTGAGACTTAAGCAATGAAAGAGAAAAAACATTTTTCTTCGCTCCGCCTCTCCATACATAGTGTGTTCTTCAGGATACTCACCCTCCCCAGTAAACATCTTAACTATCCATTTCTGGGATCAACAGAGATGCTGAAGAGGGAGCAGGCAGTGAAGTATGAGACATTCCAACTGAGACACTATACAACATTTCTCTGGGCAACTGCCAGAATTCTCTTCAGCTGTCCTAGAAGAATCCCTCCCCATTCTCAAGTCCCCCCAAAGTAGAACTGCACTTCTTAGGACTTCGGATGTCTAAAAAATTAACATGCATTCCATTTTCATGTCTTTAAGCCCAGATCTTGACCGTAAATAACATAAAGGCACTACTCACTTGAATATATCCCGTGATAAATACTGCGAGACCAATCCCAGCGTAGTAACTGGCAAACCTGATCATTTCACTTTCAATGTCCAGAAACCTTCAAAATCAGGGAGGGAAATAAACAGAAAAAAATGTTAAGACTTACAAGTGAAATATCGCACAGATGACATTTGTACATACAGGGGAGTCAAAAATATATGTATTATACCTTTCTGTCAAACCTAAGCAAGGTATTTTGTCTGTGCAAAATTCTACACATTCAAACCAAATCCCTAAGAAGTTTTCACAATGCCAATCACAGTAGATACACATATCTTAATTTTTACAGGCAGAGATACTAGAACTGTGGAATAACGAGTCGGCAGTTATTAGAAGTGAATGGGTCCTCAATGTCAGGGCTGACTCAGTTTACCATCACTCCTTTCATTTACATTTAATGCAGTGATAAAGCCATTAGTCAGAGAAGGGTTTTAACAAGCCCGACTATCTGAAAAGACATTTGCAGAAGTAGGTGTGTTGTAAATTGAGAGCTTATTTTTATCATTTCAAGAAATCTAAACCAGCTTTTCAACTTTTTCATCTCAATGAGATACTGGAGAAAGTATGCATATCATCTTTCCACAGGGGAGAAAAGTCCTGCATTAGTCCTGTCTCTCTGACCACTGCCCATCACAATCTCCTATGACTACAGCCCAAGGCAATTTTACCAGGAAGATTTCTGAGGTTGACGAGAAATTACTCCCTAGGGAATGGCAAAACAGTCTTTCAGCATTTTTCCCCATAGAACTACCATATTTGGCACAGGATTTTGGATTGGAAAGTCCAGAGAGGTGAAAACATATACATTCTGAAATTACTTTCAGGAACTAGGAAGTTTTAGTGAGAAAATCAAGAAACTGTTGAGAATTTTGATCCTCAGGGACAAGGTGGTACCAAATACATTTCTTTAAAAAATCAAGAACTAGCATCTTCAATATGGATGTTGTCATCTGTGTTCTTTCTACTTTTTACCAAGCCTTTAGGCTGTGACTTAAGTTATTCCTATCCTTTACTGAACTCAAATCAAGAAATGATACATAACTCATGTAATATACAACAAACTATTTTTCCACAACAATTTTATTATCGTTTTACTTTATTGGTTAGTATATTTCTTGATTATGTTTATATGGAGTGTATTTCATTAGGGATAGAACTGGAAATATACTGATGGTTACACATTCTGAAACCTGAGCAACTGCCATGATATTCCCCTGCAAAAGAGATAAAATATCTTAAACGTATGCATTCTGTCTCATGATAACCAAGCTGAAGCCTAAAAATACACAAGTCCTAGAAAGTCACAAACGAATGACCTATATATGAATATCCATAATCAGAGGCCCTTATAAAAACTAAGTTTCTTGGTACAGTGCATATAATGTAGTATCATACATTGCAGTATGCAGCTCTACTCCCAAATAAAAGATGGACTCCCAATGAAACTACTGAATATATCTTGACAATAGGATGGTGGACTTCCTTATAACTTCTATAATTACAATGTCATGATACTTAAAAAGCAGAATGATGGACTTGTTGACTATACTATTGCAATAACATAGGGGAAAAGAGTAGAGGGAGCAGGGGAAATGGGGAGACTGAAATGAGAAATCCTGAACCTATGGAATTGTCTCATGAAAATTTAAAAAAATGTATTATCATAAGTGATTGACTCTAATATAGTCATGTACTACACTCCATTTTTGGTCAACAATGGACTATAAACCCAATGGTGGTTTCATCAGGTTATATTACTTAATGGTCTCATCTAAGTTTATGTGAGTATATTCACTGATTTTGTTTAAAACCCAATATACCTAATGATACACATCTCAAATGAATCCCCATCATTAAGTTAGGCATATGTGCAGACACTTAAATCTGTGATCTTAGCTTTTATCTTGTGAAATAAAATGTCAGCATCCAAAATCAGAAAACTGGATAATTTATCTGAAAGGTTACTTAGATTTCTTGTGATACGTTCAAACAGAAGTGATAAAATGCCAATCATGAAAAAATTCAGCTACCAGCTCCGAACACACATGTATGGATTGCCAGGATTTGGCACCAACCTTGTCCCTGGATTTCCTGGAGCAAAACTTAGGACTGTTCTATCATTGCTGGATGGTGCAAGTAAGAATCATGTGTAGTTCATGGCTCTTTACACTGCTGAGATGCTCCTGAGCATCTTTCTTAGGAGGTATATAGGGGGTCAGAAAGCTATGAGAGTTTTAGAGACTACTTGAGAATATTTCTAAAGATATAAGCTAAACCTTTCAGCTTGGGTCCCTTGATCACACATCAAGCTCAACACATTTGTGTGATAGAAACAGGGTAAGGGAAATCCCAGAGCCTATGGAATTGTATCATAAAATTGAAAATAAAATAGAAAGAAATAAAGAAAATGAAGCATTATTCTATGATGTGGACCAAATGAACATAATTGATAACTACAGAACATTTTATATCATAGTTGCAGAATACATATTCTTTTAATCAATGCATGGAACTTGCTCTAAAATAGACCATATCTTAGATCACAAAACAAACCTTAGCAAGTTTAGTACCTTTTCTAACCACAAGAAATAAAGCTGGAAATGAACAACTTGAGGAAATTCTATAAAATATGGAAATACATGGAGACTAAAAAATACACTGCTGAAGAAACAGTGTCATAGAAGAAGTCAAAATAAAAAATTTCTTAAATTCTGGAACAAATAAAGATAACACAACTGGGATACCATGAAGGCAGTGTTTAGAGAGTTCATGGCATGTCATGCTCTTATCAACAAATGCTTATATCAAGAGATGAGAGAAACATCAAATAAATGATCTATACATTCACCTCAAAGTCCTAGAAAAATAACAAACCAAATCCAATGTTAGTAGGAGTAAATAAATAATTTTAAAAGGAGAAGAAATAAAATTGAAACAAAAATGCATAAAACTGGTGAATTTAGGAGCTTTTTTTTGAGGATATGAATAAAATCAACACATCACTGATCCAACTAACCAAAAAATGTGGGAGAACACCCAAATAAATAAAATCGGATATGAAAGAGCAGATAAAGTAATGGACACCACAGAAATACAAAAATCATCAGGAATTATTACAAGCAGCTATATGCCAAAAATTGGAAATTCTGAAAGAATCAGATAGATTTCTGGACACATACAATCCACCTAAATTCAGTCACGAAACAGAACAATTCAATAGATCAATAAGTAAGATTGAATCAGTAATAAAGACCCTCCCAACAAAGAAAAGCCCAAGACCAGATGGCTCCACTGTTAAATTCTACCACTTTTCAAGAACTAAATCCAAGATTTCTCAAACTATTCAAAACAATTGAAAAGAAGAGATCCTCCCAAACTCCTTATATAAGATCAACATTGCCTTAGTTCCCAAGCCAGAAAAAGATAAAAGAAAGAAATATATATAGATCAATATCTTTAATGAACACAGATGCAAAAAAAAAAAATCAACAAAATGCTAACTAATCAAATTCAACAAGGATTTAACAGTTTTATACGGGGATGCCTGAACATACTCAAATTGATAAGCAGAATATAGCACATTAACAAGCTGAAAAATAAAACCATACTTAATGTTAACAGAGAGAAAGAATTTGATAAAATATAATATCCTTTCATGATAAAAAAAAACCTTAGGCAAATTGGATATAGATGCACAATCAAAGCAATGTACGAAAAACTCATATCAAGCTTAATATTAAAATGAGGAAAAATTTGAGGCTTTGCCAGTCACATCCAGAACCAGACAAGGACAGCCTCACTCTCACCCTGCTTTCAATATAGTCCTGGAGGTTTTAGCCAGAGCCATTAGGCAAGAAAAAGAAATCGAAGAAATGAAAATTGAAGAAGGAAATCAAGCTATCCCTACTTGCAGGTGACATGATTCTCTATGTAGGAGAACTGAAAGACTCTACAAAATACTTTTGGAATTCTTAAAAGTTAAATAAAGTTACAGGATATAAAATCAAAACACAAAAATCAATAGTCTAAGGGCAGCAATCCAGAACTGATGAACTATCAAAACTGTTTGAGCAGGACCCTTGGAGCGCGCCTCCTGTTGGGGATCTGGGATGGGTGGGAGGTTGGGTGGTGCTTTTCCCTTTGTGACCCCCCTAACCCCAGATACAGGGAAAAATGATAATATTAGCATGGAAACAATGTCATTACCCACTTTCACCCTGTAGCTCTTGACCCTTTGTACCCTAATCAACTAAGATCATTAAAAAAAATTATGTTAAAAAAAATCAATAGTCTGTGTGTACACAAAAATTCCATGACTGAAAAGGAACTCATAAGATCAGTTGCATTCACACTGGCTGCAAAAGTTTTTAATAGCTTGAGATAAATATGGCCAAGGATATGAAGGATATCTATGATGAAATATTAAAGACAGGAATAGAATAAGACAGCAAAAAATGTAAACATCTTCCATGGTCAAGGATTGGTAGAACTAATAATCTCAAAATGTTCATATTACTGAGAACACATAAAAATACTATCCCAATGAAAATATTTATAAAATTCTTCTCAGATCCAGAAAAAAATGATGTTGAAATTGAAATTGAAACATAAGAGACCCTGAATAGCTAAAGCAATCTTAAACAATAGAAACATACTGAAGGTATCACACACAGCCTGGTACTGGCACAAAAACAGACGTGAAGTTCAACAAAAAGAATAGAAGGCTCAGAAATGAATCAAGAAAACACGGTCTCTTCTACAACAATTCTGGGAAAATTGAATGCATATGTGCAGAAGTATGAAATAAGATCCTTACCTTATACCTTATACAAAAACCAACCCTAAATGGATAAAAAGTATACATTTATTACCTGATACCAACAATTTACTTGAGGAAAACATTAGAGAAACTCTGCTAGACATAGGCATTAAGAAAGATCCCAGAAGCACAGGTGATTAAAGCAAAAATAAACAAATGAGATTATGTTCATCCATGAAGCTTTTGTCTTGCAAAGGAAACCATCATCAAAGTGGAGAGAGAGTCAACAGAACAGGAGA